CAGCAGCAGTGACATAGTGGAAAAGATAGTAGCCCAAGTCTTGTCTCTTTGAACTAGATAAACTCAGTGCGGTGCAATTCAGGCTTCAATCCAAGGGCTCAGTAGCAAGGAGGAATTCTAAAAATGTTTTAAAGATAAGAAGCAGCTTTGTAGAAAGACAGAGGACTAGATTCAGGACTCTACAAACTGTGCTATACAGCCTCTGTGGACCAAGAATGGTGTTTACCTTTTTTTTTTTTTTTAAAGACAGGGTCCTGCTTTGTAGTTCAGAGTAGTCTTGAACTCACTGTGTAGCCCAGGCTGATCTCGAACTCATGAAGATCCTCCTGCCTCAGCCTCCCAAATGCTGGGATTCCATGCATACCCCACCACACCCAGCAGGTTTTCATATTTTTAAGGATTAATTACAATTACTGACTGGCATTTTATAGATGTTTGCTGTCCTAGTTTTATTTAACATCCCAGGGCTATTCATGGGCCTGTGGCAAGAAATAAGGTGAATCTGAAAATCTCCTGCATCTCACTGATACCTCAGAGCAAACTGTCCCCTCCTCCCAACCCCAAGCCTTGCCAACTCACCTCCATCTTGCCTCTTCTACAGTATGAGTAGTTATGTATGTGAGGAACATAGAGGCTTCCTCACAATTTTATCTTGCCCTCAGCTGGGTCAGACAGATTAATCTTCAGTGAAACTAGAAAGGCTTCAAGGGCTGACCAAGTTCAGAAAACAAATGAATGAGTCACTGTCTTCCACTGGCCAGCACTGGGTCCCCAAAGCAGGCAGGGTCTTCAGGAAGACTAGTTCCCATTGTGACAGGCAGCTGAGTTAGTTAAAAATATTATAGGCAGTGATACAAGGCTAGGTCCTTAAAGGAGCCAGACAGTGCAGAAGCCCAGATACCTTGCAACTGTGAGGTAGACAGACATCTCCTCATGTAGGTCAGGCCTTAAGACAAAAGATCAAACAAATGCACCCTTTCTAAACAGTTCTCTATCACCCTGTGGAAGTCAGGAGTCACCATCCTAACCCCCTATGGGAAGAGTCACTGCTCTCTAAGAATGGCCACTTTCTATGTGACTCGCTTCCCCATTTGTCCCCAATTTAATCTTATTGGCTAACCATAACTCTGTCCCACTTATGCCCATCTGCCTTATAAGTTCCCAGTTTTCCCCACCTTGAGCCCATCTCATCCCATGATTTTACTCTATAAAAGTCCCTGGAAAAGGCAGAGTCCTTGGCAACCCACTCAGGACCCCTTCTGTCTCTTTTAGACAGAAGCTTTCTTTCTCTCAATAAATATATTCTACTCTTAACCTCCACTGTTCCTCAAATTCATTATTCGATTTTAGAGAACAAGAACGGTACTGGACATACTGTAGGTGGGGAGTTTCATTCCCCTATATCACTAAGCCAACTAGTGTGGAGAGTTTTGGCACACACCCTCTCCAAAAACTTTATCTCTCTGGCATGATTTTGTTAAAATATATGTTATTCTATTTTAAAAGAATTTTTTTCTCACTAGCATCAATTGAAATTACAAGAGGATTATCCATTTACTTCTGAAACCCTGTGGGATTTCTCCCTTATTCTTCAGCCAAGAAAAGCATTTTTCCCCAAAAAAACCTATCAAGTTCCATTATGTATTGCCAAGTTAAATGTCATGCAGATCAATTTTTGTGTCAAAATAATTTTTTGAATTTGATGATGAGAGGCTTGTGTTGGTTTTTTAAACACATCGATGTAGGAAAGTGCTATAGTTTTGAAAACTTTAATTTTGAAAGCCATAATTTTTCTTGTCCAGTTAAAGAGTGGTGAGGAAGATTATAAATAATTGGTCTTTGGCAAACTTATCCATCCTTTTTCAGAAGCACAGCTAATATATCAATCAACATGTAAGTAGGCCCGGGCTCTGGTCCCTCTCATTAAAACAAATAAAGTATTCTTGATTTATTCACAGTTTACCCTTTGATCTGAAGGAAAGGATGAAGCTTGTCCTTGAAGTCTGGCTTGGTTACTATTTTCTCCTTGTTGAGACAAAATACCTCTACCCAAAATTAAGGAAGGAAAGGTTTATCTAGCTCACAGTTTACAGAGGTTTCAGTTGGCTCCAAGGCAGGGTAGCATGGCACAGGGGCAACGCTTCAAGACATCAAAACACAGCAAAGCTAGGCAAGCAAAAAGGGGCGGAGAACAAGCCTTTTTTCTTCCCTTATATTGTAAGCAGCCTAACCCCTCCCCCGCTTCCCCAGGGCAGGTGTAGCAATGGCAGAATCTTGTGCTTTCCTCTTGTACTGGCTCAGGATGATTACAAGTAACTATCCTGACTCCCTGCTGAGTCTCTTACATACATTTCCAAACTTCTCAAGTTGATGTAATGTATCAACCATAAGGAGACACAGACCTACTGTCTACATACATGGCAAATTTAAAGTGTCACATTAGCAAGGCAAAAGTATTCTGCTAGGTTAGGGTCTCCTTGGCAATGCCAAATTCATACTAGTAATCAGAAAAAAAGTTTGTCCTAAGATACGCCACAGCTGGCCTGGTGCTTTGTATATCACTTTATCTGACAAGGAAAATTCAGAATGCAAATGGCACATAAGAGAGGCAGGCAGAGAATGCACAGATTGATGCTGTGCAAGTTATTGATTTTGGTGACTGTCATTCTCATTGAACGCCTTTGTTGAATTAAGGAAAGAGGAATATTTTCTAATCAGCATGACACCTTGTGTATTGGGTTACTCTTCATCCTTCTACCTAGTTTGATTCATATGGTATGCTAGTAGTTAGACTAAACTTTGCTACAGCCTTGTCTTGCTTTGAAACAAGTCTTCTTGCCAGGTTTTGATAAACACAAATGAGAAACTGGTCACGGAGGAAAAAAGACCAGGCTGCTCTGTGACTGAAGTCTTGACAGTGCCAATTTCCATTTCTTCCTCTTAGAATTATTTCAGAGATCTCTAGCAAAGTCCCTGGTTGCACAGACTTCCTTAAGAGCAGTTTCTATCTCTGTTCTTTCACTACTTTCTTGTTCTTTGTGCAAAAAACCATGCCTGTAAACAGCTAGCTGCTGGGTATCAGGTCTTCTCCATTATGCCATGTTTCTTAGTAGTGTACTTTGTTACTGTCCATTCCCCATTCTACTCCATTTGCTTTACCCACGTTCTGAAGCTCAAAAGCATTCCAGTCAATTCTGAAGCACACCTGCCATATCATAGCCTGAAGGATGCCACAGAATGGAGCTGAGGTTAAACAGGTTTTCCTGACAACACTGTACTTCTGTTTTGTCTCAGGCCTACAGCTGTGAAACTCCTGCTCCCCAGGACCATTTCTCCCTGGCAGGAACAAATACTGCATCATTTAAGTAAAGATCTCGTTAGGTAATGTTATCTAAGATAGCTAAAAGGAAAGGAATTGCTTTCTGTTAGCTGGAAATTCGTGGTGCCAGAATTCATCTAACCTTGCTCATTGGCTGGCCATCTGGCAGGACTCCCTGAAACAAGCAAACCCATACACCTTCTGTGTTCCCTGGACTATAAAGGAATCCCCACCTGGAGTGACATTGCCCAGTTCAGGCACCAGGTCCATCTGTAATCACAAGACCACCTTGTTCCTATTTGGTAATGCAGCCCCCAACTATTGACCTTTGGCCTCTCAGTGAACCTAGTGTCTTTCTAACCAGATGGCCCAGCCCCCACCACTCTGACCAAGGAACATGTTTCATAAAACAGCTTATCTATTTTCCTTCCTGCACTGTAATTTTTGTTTTATAATTTAGTGCCTTAATATTTACAAATACTGTACTGTGTATTTATTTGAAACTGTAAAACTCATCTTTGGCAATTGGGGACTTTGTCTTGTCTACAGTAGTATGTATTAGGACTTGAGTTTATCCTCCTCCAGACTTGTGTTGGTTCTGTTATTCAGTTTGACCTGCTCCAAGAAGTCTCTAGACACAGCACTTAGTTGTTCCCGCAGGTGAGGCCCCCACCAACTCTTGCCACATCCCAATAAAAGAATGTAATTTGGTTTGCCAGCTGGGGTGGGTTGGTGGTGGCATAAGGCCTTCACCCTTTGAACCACAGCTATGACCCCATTTCTTATCATATTTGTACTCATTTAATAGATATATATCATCATTCATGCTACTCCATTTTCCTATTAGTGTCCTAAGCTCTTTGGAACAAAATGTAGGTGTAGGTCACCCCTCACCCCAATTAAGAGCTCCACCAGACAAGTTGCTCTGGTTTTTCAGAAACTGCAGATGGATTCATGTGATGTGTTACAATGTCAATGATTTCTTAAACTTTTTCTTACTTTTTTATATATTTGAAAGGTGGTATTTTTTGCAGTGTAAACTTGCAGAAGATGCATAATGCAACCTGTTTAAAAAAACTTCTGTTGGTGTATTTTGTATATACTCTGTGTTCTTATAATGAAAATAAACTTTATCTTTGTAAAAAGCAAAAGCAGGGAGCTGGGGGTTTAGCTCAGCAGCATAAAGGCCTGCCTGTCAAGTGCAAGGTCGTGAGTTCAATCCCTGGTACCAAAAAAAAAAAAAAAAAAAAAAAAAAAAAAAAAAAAAAAAAGCGGACTAAGACAAGTTAGGTGTGTACTATATAGCAACTGCAGGAGTGAGGCTGTAAAACACCCAGCTGTAAGACAGAACTGCCCGCAAAGATCTTTGCCTCTAATCACCTGTTTTCTGCTATTTCCAGTCAGGAAAATAGCAGAGGGCAGGTGCCACATCTCTTTACGCGGGGTTACGAGGCCAGGGCAATTTTGCCCATGCCCCCCTTGCCCGATGCACCTGCACACTCTCTTCGCCTCACACTCTAATTAAGTTACCCCAGCTGGATCATTCACTGCTTTTACACCTAAACTACCATTCCCAGCTGGCAGAGCCTGAGCTCTCAGCGCACCGGATTTCCTGTTAAACGTCACTTCCGGTTTGGTGCTTCCCACCAATGACCTGTGTGCGAAGGCGGGTTAGACTTTCTGAGGCTCCTCCCCTGCCGGGTGGTTTTGAACCTCCGTGTAAGGGCCTGGTGAGGCCGGCAGCCTCCACGGGCTTCATGGCGGCGTCCAGGAAACTCAGCGCTCTTCGACTCCCGCCGTTGCCCACCATTCGAGAAATCATTAAGTTATTCAAACTACAAGCAGTGAAGCAGCTGTCCCAGAATTTTCTCCTGGATTTGAGGCTGACAGGTGGATGTGTGGTCAGGGTACCCCAATTCTCCCCGGGCGTCCCAGGGGGCGTGGGCCGGGGTCTCCCGCGGACAGGTATTCAAGCCCGGGCGTAGGCGTCCAGCGGGCGTTTGGTCAGATTCTTCTTTTTCTTACCGAAGGCTACCTCTCCCGACACATGGAAGGAATTACTTGCTCAGCGGCGTAGCATTGAGGGGCGGGTCGCCGTGGGCGGCCCCGCCCCACGCGGTGCGCTAACCACGCCGCGTGGAAGGGGTCCTGGGTCTGCAGTTGTGGCTGTGTGCGCGGGAACTTCAGGCCTTACTAAGTCAGTCAGGCTGCATGAAGTGACCACTGTGGCTTTTCATGCATTTTAAAATTACAGAATTTAGTGCAAAGATTTCCTTGATACCTTGTTTCAAAAGGGCATCCTTCAGGATTCATTATTTAAGCGTTTACTAAGTCAAAGGGGCAGATACTCATTCAGGAAGTACATATTTTGTAACCTACTATGTGCTAATGCTGGTGATACCATAAGAAAGAGAACGAGACAACCTGTTCTGGAGGGGTTTACAGGAGTTCTTTAATTTTGAGATTTTGATATATCTACTTGGCTCCTGTTGAAACCAAAAAGCATATTTCCATTAAATGATACACAGCCCACACAGAATATGTTTTATGTCTTAAACACTGAGGTGTGTTCAAAAAATATGACTTGTGTAAATTTTTTAAAAAATTATGATAGTAAGGGACATATTGCCATTCATCTCACACACACACACACACACACACACATCCCCTTTGAACACACATCATTCTTGCAACTTTATGGAGCAATTCTAGAGCTTCTCTGGTGAAAACCTTTAGTTGCAATATCCTAATTACCTCAATGCCTGATTCAATTAAAAACATTTACCTTTAATGTCATTTTGGCTTTGGAAAAGAGCCAGAAGTTCCCCTAGGTCCAAATCTAGTGAATAAACACACCCTGTAGTGTGTTTGACAGAAACTGCCATAAATATATGGTCAACAAAGGGTGATTATGACATATGGTGAATAAACATTTTAAAAGTTCTTGTAGTAAAAGACACATTGTCATGAATTTCCCCCTCAAAATGATCAAACTACTGCTGGCTTCAAATACAGCCTCTCATTCTTGGCAATGTGTCCTTTAGTACAATTTTTTTTTTTAAATTGAACCAGAGTATCTTTTGATCACCCCCTGTACAGGCTTTATTCTGCCTGTTGCAATTTTACTTTGGATAAAATAGCTTAAATTTTCTCATCTTTTAATTGGGAGAGAATTTTCAAAAGACTACAAAGACTTTTTAAAAGACTATCAACTTCTAAAATAGTTTGGTTGTAGTAACAGGACCAATGCTTTCTACAAGTTGCTAGCTGCATTTTAAATCCAAAGTATCATTCTCAGGGATGAAAATAAGGAGTTCTAGAGCCAGGCCTAGTGATACACGCCTGTAACCCCAGCACTGGGGAAGCTGAAGCTGGCAGATCCTTGCAAGTTCGAGACCACCCTGGGCTACAAAGTGATCGCAGGGCCAGCCTGAACTGCATAGGGAGACTTTGTCTCAAAAAGAAGAAAAAAAAAAAAAACAAAACAAAAAACAGTTCTAAAGAAAATTCTGCCTTTATATTTTCTCATGGAGTAAATTGCAGATTTTAGATAGTATTACCCACTCTTTCTGTGGAAAACAAAGTGAAAGAAAGTTACGGTGTATGTCAGAGTGTGAAGGACAGATGGGAGGAGAGCAAGACTAATACTCAAGCTTGGTGATTTGACATTGCATTTGATGTTCGCCTGTATTTCAGGATACTGAGAAGTGTGTAGGTGACACCAGTATTTTGTGTACTCTTAACTTCCCATCTTTAAAAATGAGAATATTTACTTTGTAAAGCTGCACTGAATTAATCATTCCTGTTTCCTGTGAGAAGCAATTGGCTTTACATTTAAAGTTGAAGTTCTTTCACTACTATTTGCTGTCCATATGATCTTGCACAATTAAAACAATAGACAAGGAAAAATTGGACTAGTTCTTAGTTAATGGGTTGTGAGGATTAGATAAAGAGAACCATAACAGATGGTCAGTGGATGTTATTCCTTTCCCATACCTGTTAAGTATCAAAACTATTTTGGGATTAAAAGACTGTGTTTGCCTTTAAGCTTACATGAGCTGGTTATCAATAACAAGCCAAACTGGCATTAGATGGTGTCAATAAACACTACTAAGAAATGCTGATACATTTTCAGAAGCTAAAATTCCACCATCCTTAGAAGCTCAGATGCTTGAATTTTAATGTCTTATTAGCAATAAGACCAGCCTACTGTATATTTTTCTCCAAGTGTGGTTAGTTGCAATGAATCATCAGTACTCTGTTTTTCTGTAACTTTAGCTTGGCTAACTTAAACTGCAGATTTAATATGCCCATATTAATGTACATGTTTGCAATTTTTTCTTAAAACACCAGTGCCAAATTTAACTTTCTGGAAATGACCAAAAATTTAAATTTCTTAGTGTTACCACCTAGAGTTTGTTGCCAGTGTAACACTGAACAACACAAAATAGCTGTCTACATGTAAAATTTAAGAGTACTTACTCTTACTGCTTTGGAGTTACTAACTAGTAATATTGGAGATTCTTAATATGAGCATAGTCTTGTTTACTCAAATACTTGATGTTCAATAACTTGGAAAACTGTTACTACATTCTTATCTGCCAAGATAGCCATATTTATCTAGCCATCTGTTAGTAATTGATTGTTTTGGTGGAAGAATAGAGAGAAAATTAAGTTTAGCTAAGTTTAAGGCAATTTTTCCCAGTAATCTTACTTTTTGTTAACTGGTAAAGTTAAACAGTGATATGATAGAATATAAATAACCACTAAATGCTGATTTAGGTTGAGAGTTAAGCTACTATATTTATACTGTATATAAAGGATTTGTTGATTGGACAGCAACTGATAAGAATTTTTTGTAGGTTATTTTCTGTTTAAAATTTCATGTGTTGAAATTTGCCAAGATCATCAAGAATGCTGAAACTTTCTTTTCTGTAGATAAAATTGTTAGGAAAGCTGGAAATCTGACAAATGCTTACGTTTATGAAGTGGGCCCTGGGCCAGGAGGCATCACAAGATCCATTCTCAATGCTAATGTTGCTGAACTTCTGGTGGTTGAAAAGGACAGTCGATTTATTCCTGGATTACAGGTGAGGTACTTACAATGTCTTTCTTAGGAAGTAGAAACCCATTTTAAGACTTAGACTATGATTCTTAAACCCAGAAATAACCAGAGATTATGCAGGTTATTCCTCCAACTGTGGATCTCCAGGCACCATACCAGGGAGTTTGGTTCCATAGGCCAGAGAGGTGTAGAAATCTGCATTTTTAGGAAGCATCTCCAGATGGTCGTTGCTTACAGCTTGAACAAACCTCGTTTACATACTGGTGCTAAACCAACTGTTTTCTTTCATTTCTCTCTCTTTCTCTTTCTCTCTTTCTCTCTTTCTCTCTCTCTCTGTCTCTGTCTCTGTCTCTCTCTGAGTCTGTCTCTCTCTCTGTGTATGTATGTAATTGTGTGAATGTGATCTCTCTTTTATTTTTTGGGGAGGATCTATTTTTGTGCATATTATAGCCTGTTCTTTCAATAGAACTAATGATTAGTATGATTTGTCAGCATGACTTTTGAGAACTTCATTTAGATTCCAGAAAACATTTTCACAAGCAAGAGATGAAGAAGACATGCTAGCCGTTCATAAAGAGAGACTAAGTTTATGCATGCTAAGTGAAAGAATGAAGTTGTACCATTGATAGATGTAGGATAAGATTTAAATGAAATGGCATATGCATCTTTTAAAACACAGGTACTATTATGAATATTATTGAAATATTGAAGGAACTAGACATATTTCCACGGATGAGAAGCCTTGAGCAAGAGTCTCTATAGATACTTACCAAAGATTTGCAGTAGAGAGAGAGGACAAGCTGTTTTTGATCCTTTCTAGGAAAGAACTAAAGCAAATAGATGGGAATTAAGGGAGGCAGAATTGAGAATTTGAAGTAAGGAAGGACTTAAGTTTTTAAAACATTGTCGAACAGTAGGACACCTTACTTCAGAGATCTTCTAAAGAGAATTCCTCATGGGGGCAATTAATGGTTTAAAGGCCTATTTGAGTCTTGTGTAATTCTCAAACTTTAAAATAGCCCTGAGCCTTTGGCTCAGATGACTGACAATTTATTATGTGACTATAATAGAAAAATAAAATTATTTACATTCTACTTTATACAAAAGGATAAATTGGTTTAAAATTAATACATTCTGATACTTATTTGTGAATGTGTTAATGGAAAAATGTTTAATTTCTGTTTGAACAGTTTAAGAAAATAGGTTTTAAAATTTAGGACTTTATGTGCATACATCTAATTTTTTTAAGAAACCTACTGATTTTTGTTTCTTGCTTCATTCAGTCTTTATGCTTCAAAGAATTCCATATTATTTCATTTTATCTAGTTTTGATAGAACTCTTTTCAGAATAGTAATTTTATTTTGAGGTTGTCACATGGTATATATTCCTTGATCAGATGTAAAGTTTAGTATTAATTTTTGTTTTAATCCTATTTTAAGAACTATGTCCCAATTGGAGGTGGAAGTGAGACTATTATTTTGGTAAAGTCGTAAGATGATCAGGAAAACCTAAATAATGCGCGATTTCCTTCAGGTTTATTCCCCTGACTGTTTCTGGACATGGGGAGTAGTACTCAGTTGATGTTTTGCAGTTTTGTGCCCTTACAGAGTTTTTAACTCAGATCTCCCCATCGGGTATATGTTTTTGTTGCTGTTTTGTTGTGTTTGGTGGTGGTGGTTTTGGTAATGGGAACTGAGCCTAGAGCCTTTGGACTGAGGTACACCTGCATCCCTTTCTTTATTTTGAGACGTGGTCTTGCATCACCGTTGCGTAGGTTAGGCTCAAAGCTTTGATTCACCAGCTTCAGCTTCCCAGACTGTTGGAATTACAGGCATGCACCATCGTACCTGACTTGTTTGCAGGTTTTTTTTTTTACTTAGGCATGAGAATGAATCAAATTTCTGTTTATATTGCTTTAATATATATATTCCCTGTCATTTGACCTAAAGATCTTCAAAGTGAGACTGTTTAAAAGAGCGCTTGCCATCAGTCTCTTCTAATCATCCACACCATCCAAGTCCCTGCCTGCAAACCCTCTGCCTTGTTTTACCTCTTTAGAGATGTCATTGGACACACTGTATGTGTGTTCTTCTCATATGGGTGTTGTGAGATTCCCCCCTCTAGCATGTAAGTACTAGGAGGGTAAAATTTGAATTGTTTTATTCCTTGCTATATCTTCTCTACATGTAACAGTACCCACCCTATGGCAGATAGTAATGTCTCACAAGAAAAATAAGAAGATTGACTGTCTCCGTAACTGTATCTATGTGATAGTTGGCTCAGTACATTGCATTGATTATCAAAGTTTTGTGCTCTTTTTTAAGTATCAAAGCTAATTTCAAGGTAAATTAGTCTACATACAATGTGTGTTTGATTTCTCATCCATTCCTGCTGTCTTCTATGTAGGAATGAACTCACCTTAAAAAGAAATGTTGAGTACTAAATTATCAAATAGGCTTCTTTTTCCTGTAAAGAATGTTTCAATAAGTAAAACTACTTTCTACTGAAGATCCTAAATTAATCATAAAACTGAGTAAAGACAGTAAGAGAGTGATCTGTTTTAAGGATTCCATTTAAGTGATTTCTAAGCTAATAGAATTACTTTTTAAAGAAAGTAATAATTTATAAAATGTCTTCTAACTGAAAGTATGTCATTTGTACCTTAATTCAGTTTTTAGGATATAATCACCTGGCAGCTCAGAGAGAAGAGAAACCAATGTTAATACAGAGATTTTACTCTCAATGTGTTGTAAAGGCAAGAAAGCTTGTCTGATAAGGAAAGCGGCGTAGTGTATGATTTTATGGTACAGACCATGAACTTTGGCATCAGACTGCATAGGTTGGCTCAGGCTGTATTACCAGTTCTGTGACTTTAGCAAGAAATTATGTCTCTCTCTGCCCCAGTTTATTCACAAAGAATAAGTGAATGCCTTACACTTAGTGAGCAAACCGTAGATTGTAGTAATCAAATTGGTATCTCCATCCCTTGGGCACTAGTGGGAATTAAGGATGGATCAGGAGACTGTTAATCTGATATGAGATATAAGAGGAAATTAATGTTCCTCCTTTGGTGCCCTGGAAAATCCCATGTACTGTCAAAATATTGGGACTTTCTCCAGCTTTTCCAGTTCCCAGTTAGACACCTAAGATTTCTTTGTCTTGGTGTTGTAATATTCTGATTTTGCATTTTTGGTTGTAATTTTCTTACAGTCTTATGGCAGAGTGGATTATTGATGCGTTGGAGGGGATAACATTTCCTGATACCTCAGGAACCCTAAAGCCTTTGTGAATTCTTCACCATTTCTAATTAAAGCAAATTTCATAAATTATGTGCTCTTCTTCAGACAGGTATTCCAGATTCTTCTTCATTTGTTTTGAAGGTTTTGTACCTCACTATCAAAAATAATAGTTGATATTTATGGAGTACTTAACCATATAATACTTTGTTTTATCGCTTTATTGAGATACAATTAAATCTCAGTAAACTATACATATTGGAAGCATTCAGAGTACTGGTTTGACATATATGTAATTGCATGAAACCATCACAATCAAGATAATGAACACCATCAGAATTACTTACATTCCTTTGTAATCTATCCCTTCTCCCTTACCTATTCCCAGAGAATTACTGATCTGCTTTCTGTCTGAAAAATTATTTTCCTTTTTTTTTAGAATTTTATACAAATGAAATTCTTCAGTAAGTTCTAGTTCTTTAGGTTCTGAGGTAGTGATATGGTAAACATTCACAAAAAAACCAAACCTTTATGAGGTGACAATACCATTTTACCTTTCCACCTGTGCATGAGAATAGCTATTCTTCATGATTGCTCACCTTTTGATACAGTCACTTTTTCATTTTAGCCATCCCAAAATGAAAGGTAGATAGTACTGTCTCATTATGTAACATTGTCTGTAATTTATTACAGTATTTCAATGGGTTGAAGGTTTATAGTAATAGTTGTCTTATGTGTGTAGTACATGAGCAGACAAAATTGATGTAAAGTGCCTGAGGCTAGAAGCCAGTAGATGATTGCTATTCTAATTATTATCTTTCCTATCATCTTATAAAGGGACATACGAAGCACTTTAGAGGTTCTGCGAAGGCACTTGTGATGGATAATCGAGGCTGTCAGTTTGGTGGGCTTTGGGGTTCTCTTGGATTGGTACAGCACACTTCCGGAGTATCTCACTGGGTCATGAAGGTGTGGCCCTGGTCTGTCTAGTCCTTGCCCTTTCTTCTTTGGCACTGTTCTTTTCTGCTTTCCAACTGATACAAACTAAGCAGCTTTTTTCCATTATGACTTTCTATTGTGTCTTTCTACTCTGATGTTGCTGCCTTTGAGCAACGTAACCATTAGTCAAAAATGAGACAAATTAAACTTTTCCTTCTTTAAATTATGGTTGTTAGGTATTGTATCTGAGTGATGGCAAAGGTGACTTATCACAGAGCTGTTTGGAAAATCCCCTTACTCTCTGTCATGACTATTGCTTACTTGAAACATGTAACTTACTTGATAAGACCATAGTTAATCATAACACAGAGACAAAATTCCACAAGGAGACAAGGTATCTTATAGCCAAAGTAATTTTATATATGTACTACTATGAATTATATGTGCAAAAATCAGTGCTACAGGCAGGCCTATTAACAGCAACAAAAAGTAAAAGTTACTATGATATCAGAAAAGCTCTGAAAACCAAATGTAAAACCAAGAAAATGTTTTGGTTCGGTAGTAAGGGATCATGCACATCTCCTTAATCATTAAGGCTGTTGCTCTGAAGGACTAGTGACCCCAAGAGACAAATTGGGTGCAATATCCTTGACTTATGAAGATTGTATAATATAGTGTCCCGGCCTGCGGGTAAGTCCAAGGAGACCTTAGAGGGGGAGTGGGGATGAAAAGGAAAGAAGAGACTCAAAGAGCGGAGACAAGACGAAGAAGTCCAAGCAAGTCTCATTTATTCAAGGAAGGAGTATCAAATATATAGGGTATTGAGGAGGAAGGAGTTGGGTTCTGAGACGTCAGCAGGTAACTTAGCAACAGTGGCAAGACGGAGGGTTATAGGTCAATTCAAATTTCCCACGTGCAGTGCGTGCGGGTTCATAAGGCAGGCTGATTCGCATAATCTCTTAATGAGCCAAACAAGCTAGGTAGGCAAGGTGCTGCTTAATTACCAAACTTAACTCTTAGAGGGAGTTAAGGTGGTGCAGCCTGCAGATATAAGGATATAAGAGGCTGCATCCTTGAGGAGACTGTGCCTGTCTTGAGTCAGGGCGCTTCTACAGGGGGCCCAACCTAGCCTTACCCGTCATTGGAAGACAGGACAGCGAGAGGCCCAGTTCCTGTCTTAGGTGGAGGTTGGCGTCCTTTGTGAGGCCCAGTTGCCCATCTCTGGCTATCCAGTTAATTGCACCAAGGCAAGAGAAATGAACAGGCAGCATGCTTTCACAAAGCATTATTATAATACAGTTTTGCAGGCTCCATGTAATTCTCTCTATCAGCCATTCAAAACCTGTGGTAATGGACCTGTAGGTTGCATTTTTATGGCATATCCACCTGTTTGCAAAAGCCAACAACTTAGTCATCATAATCCCATGAGACAGGATCCAGACTGTTGGTTCCATCATCTGAAAAACAAGAGCTGCGAAATATCTCTCAGGGGTCATTTTCATCCCTGGAGTCATCTGTAACATTATCTTCTATTTGTTGCATTTGATCTATTTGTTAACCAATCATTCTGGCAGCCATCTCGCAGATTTCATTCTTTAGAGTAAATGCATACTGATCCTCGTACCCAGATAAGGACTGGGTCTGGACCATGCCATGAGTTAGTCAGGGGGTCTCTCCATAGTACAGAAGCAAATTGCTTTTGTGTTTCAGTATGCCAAAAACAGGTGGCTGCTGATTGTCCAGCAGCATTCAGATTTAAAAAATTAAGGATGAGTAAGGCATGAGATAGAATATTTTTAGGTATCCCCCTTGTGGGGTACCATTCCTCCTTTTTTATTTTATCAACGGTGAGTTTTAGGGAGAGATGTGCCCTTTCAACTATGCCTTGGCCTTGAGGGTTATAAAGTATGATGAATATTAAGTATGATGAATATTTTATATGATGAATATTAAGATGGTGACAGAAACAGGCAAAGGCAGAACTAGCATATCCCGGACCATTATCAGTCTTTAATTGTGGGCATCCCAAAACTGATAAGGTAGTTAGCGTATGGCTAATAACATGTTTGGTAGCTTCGCCAGTCTGGGGAGAGGCATAAGTGAAACCACTAAAGGTATCTATAGTTACATGAACATATTTAAGGCTGCCAAACTCAGGAATGTGGGTGACATCCATTTGTCATAATGCATTGGGGATAAGTCCTTTAGGATTCACCCCAAAGAGTGGAACTGGGAGGTGCGTGGCACAAGAGAGGCAATTTTTTTACTACCTGTCTGGCTTGTTCTCTAGTGATCTTGTGCATAAGATGGAGAGTTTGGGCATTGAGATGGTATAATTGATGATTCTTTTGTGCTGAAGTAACATTGTCATCATGATCACTGGAGCTAACATTAGGTAAAGTACAAAGGAGAACTTGCGGTCGAGTGGCCAGGCCTGCTGCATGATTACTATTGGCCAGAGGTCCTGGTAACCCAGAGTGAGCATGTAGGTGTCCGATAAAAAAAGGGCAAGTTCTTTTTATAATGAGCGTCTGTATTTTCCCAAACAGTTCTACAGTGCTGGAGGCACTTTTGATTTGGCCAGCTGTTTCTAGCAGGGGCACAGAGTGTGCAATATAAGCGCTGTCAGTATATAAATTCACGGGCTGATTGGGAAATGCTGAAAGGGCTGCAGTGACAGCATGCAACTCTGTGATCTGGGCTGATGTACTGTTTGTTTTGAAGGATACAGTTTGGTTTTGAAAAACATAGGCTGCTGAGCCAGTTGAGGAGCCATCAGTAAATACCAACAAAGCATTTTTTAATGGTTTGAATGATGTGACCATAAGGAAGATGAATGAATGCCGATTGGCAAATTCAATAAGCTTCTCTGGGGGATAATGGTTGTCTATTAGCCCTGTACAGGAGGCAAGGATAATGGGCCAGAATTCGGTTGTTTCCTTGAGCCAATCAATCTGTTCTTTGGTATAAGGTAGTATGATAATATCTGGCTCCTTACCAAAATAACATTTTCCTTGTTTTCTTCCCAAGAGAATGAGGGTAGCAATAGCCTGATAATAGGGTTCAATGACCTTTTTAGGTGTTGCTGGCAAGTGAATCCACATTAACGGTGCTGTCTGCCAGAAGACAGCGGTTGGGGAGAGAGTGGTCCTGCATGATAAATTTCAAGGGTTTACCATAATCTATAAAAGTAATGGTTTGGGACTGAATGGCCTGCTCAACAGCATGTATTGCCTGCTTTCCTTCTGGAGAGAGTTTGCGAGGGAAGATAGGGTCAGGATTACCATGTAAGGTATATAGAGGGGTTTTAATTCACTCTTACTAATTTTTAAGTAGGGTATGAGCCACTTAATATCCCCAAGAAGTTTTTGAAAATCATTTAAAGTCTGAAGTTAATTTAGCCTCAACTGTATATTTGGAGAAGAAATCTGAGGTCCCCTCATTTGAAAACCCAAATATGTATATGGGTTGGTGAGTCGAACTTTGTCAGGGACTATCTCAAGTGCTTTATCTTGTAGGGCAGCCTGTAATGCATCATAGCACCTCAAAACACTTTTCCCATTATTTCCAGCTATCAAGATGTCATCCATATAATGAATGAGATATATTTTTGGCCAGTGGTCTCTTATAGACTGTATTGCTGAAGCAACAAAAGACTGGCATAGGGCAGAACTATTTGCCATGCCTTGTGGGAAAACCCACCATTGGAATCTTTGCATGGGTGCTCTAAAATTAATAACTGATAAACTAAAAGTAAAATGCTTTTGATCATCTGGATGTAGGGGGATAGTAAAAAAGCAACCCTTGAGATCTATGACATTAAAAGAGCCCAAAGGTATAGGATATATCTAGGAACATAAAATTCAAACCAAGAAGACAAATTCACATGATTTTGTTTCAGTCCTAATTACTTAATTAATTGTATATATTGACATCACATTAGCTTTTAGTTTAACCTCTTTGTTTTTGACATGCTAATTAGTTTTAATTATGTGAACCCCATAATTATAGAAATATCTTAGTCTTATCTCTTAAGTGTTATCATTAAATATTCTTATATAGTAAAAACGTATCCCATAGAGAACTATTTCCTTTTTAATATTTAGTATATCATGTTATCTAAGATTTATTTGGAGCTCATCAGATAAGTTTTTAGCAAATCATGGTAATTTAAAATAATTCCAAAGTATATTTACATCAGAGTTAGTTATTTTTGCTAACCTGCTGTGGCTAGCCATATCAAACTGGACAATCCTAAACAAAATGTTTATCTTCCTGCCATTGTAAGCATTTCAGCTCTTAATTCTGCCTCATTGTAAAATCTTTGCAAATTCCTTGACCCCCAAAATTTGGAGAGTGAGCTTCCAAATAACTAAATGTTATTTGGTCATTTGTTTGCTCATTCCTGTATCAGTTAGTGTTCACATGAGGAGCAGATTCAGTATAAGATATATATATCTCATTGTTTATGTAACACATAAAAAGATTTACTAGGTAGACCACCCAAAAGTCAGATGTGGAAAAATGCAAAAAGCTGTCTACACACTGGAGATCTGAAGGATCCAGTCAAAAGTAGGCCTACAGCTCTTGCAAAGTCCAGTGCAAGTCTGTCAGAAGCTGAAGGGTCTGTACTGAAAGACTGGAAGCCTAGAGATGGACATCCAAAGACAATGGTGAAGACTGGAATGCCTCATAAAAAACACAAAATGAGACTTCCTTCTTTCCTTTTTTTTCCCATCCAGGCTATAAGCCTATTGGTTGGTGCCACTCACACCAGGAAGAGTTCCCTCTTCATTAAATCCATCACGCAGACCCTACCCAGAACTATGCTAAACCAGTCAACTGTACGTTTCTTAGCAAGTTCACACCATAGTTAACTATCACAATTCCCTTGTAAGTGTATGCTTTCATTTTATTCCCCTTTTTGTGACCTAGATGCTTTCTGATGCAGCACCTGGAAAACTAAAAATTGTTCATGGAGATGTGTTGACATTTAAGGTAGAAAAATCTTTTCCAAAAAGTCTTAAAAGATCCTGGGAGGATGGTAAGTGCCATTAAGTACTTGTTTGTTTTTAATTTCCCTTTCTCATTATTTATATATATAAAATATTAATTTTATTCATTATAGATTTATTGTATTATATATTAAAAATTATCTAAACAGTTAAGTAATGTGCACTGTAATTCTTTTAACTTTTCCAGTCCCAAAATTTAAAATGTAATACTTTCTCTTATTTTTTTTTTGTCTTGTGTTTTCCAATGTTTTAAATTCTGTGTAATTAAACTTGTCATTTTGTGGTACTGTATAAATATGGGGTAAACTAGGAAGTGTTACATTTTCCAAATGATGGGAAAACGTATTCTCGTAAACCAAGCCACATGCAAGCCTATCTTTTTCTTTTGCGGTCTTTTGCACTCAGTGATCAATAGAGCCACTTCTGCATGGATACTTTTTATTGGTACCAGTTAGGAGTCAGCCTTTTGGAATCCACAGATAAATGGTATTTTGCTCATCAGAAACTCTCAGAACAAATGAAAGGGATTTGGAATCAAGTCTAGCTTCCCCTGTGTATCTCTGGCATCCTCAGGACCAAACTCCTTTAGAGCGCATTTGTAAATCTCTACCTTTCAACAAGCCTTTCAGCAAGCAACCTACAGGTTTTTGACCCGTCTGTCCTCCTGTCCCTGTCCCTGCTCCGCTCACACTGGAATCACAGTGACCTGTTTGAAACTTACCTCAGTACATTCTCCTATATTCATTTGGCTATTATCCAACTGTCTTCTGGAAGATTTCTCTATTCTTGTCTTCCTTAATACCAGGCCATCCTTCATGAGTTTCCTTTGACATTTCTAAACTTTCTGTAACTGTCATTTGCTAGTGGTGGTTTTTTGTTTTCCATCCACTTCTGTTTCCGAGGTTTTTCTTTCTGGGCATCATCTTTTTTTCTCATGCTGCAGATTGACATAGGTCACTCCATTTGTAGATTTTCACTTCACCCTATGTACTGTAGGCACTTACATCTTTTTACCCAGCCTGTATATCTTTCAAAGACATATGGCCCCTTGATAGCCATGGGCACTTTAACTTCAATATGTCCAAAGAAAATTATCTTTTCCTTTAAGCCAGTTATTTGATACCAGAAATCTGGACTTCCACTGACTGTACACTAATTAGATAGAATTTTTTTCTCAATAATTTAGAGCTCAGCTGTGAGAAAATACTGCTTTTGAAGAAGAAATAGATGAAAAAATACTCAGCCCATATAGTTTATTTTGGATACTATTAATATCCAATTTGATTTTTTTCTGAATTAAAATTATGTATGGAATTTATTGATGATATAATTCTACGTTTTTTGCCCATGCAAAACAGATCCTCCAAATGTGCACATTATTGGAAATCTGCCTTTCAGTGTGTCAACTCCACTGATTATCAAGTGGCTTGAAAACATTTCTAATCAAAATGGACCTTTCACTTACGGCAGAACTCAGATGACTTTGACTTTTCAAAAAGAAGTGGCTGAGGTAAGCTTTGACTTTTTCTGGTTATTTGATCACATGATCAGATTCTCAAACAGTGCAGCATTTTCACCCTAACTGTGTGTTCTAATACTTACTCCATTATACCAAGAAACCCAGTGACATCCTTAGGTATATGAGGATGACAGACAGCAGGACTGGAAACTTTTACGGTAGAGTGAATGTGAATGCTATGTGTAAGCCAAGAAGGAGGTGCAGTGAATGCAGGGAGGAATCAACCATAGACATGACCAGAGAAAGATAAAAGCTTTGTGTCAGCCATGCACTCATATGTGAGGTTCAGAGAGCGGTATCTGAAAATTGATCCTTTGTGCTCAATAGGATGATAAAGAATATGATTATCAACTTGAAGCTAGAAAGGGAAAATGGAAGAAGGTCTTGCTATCCAGCATGTAGACTTTGTCTTAGCCCCCGCCTTGGTGATGCCTGCTGTGCCAGCCTCCTCCTGGCAGGTATGTTTGGAGTCAGTCTCTAGGCTGGAAACCCCCTTGCTGTTTACTGTTAGCGCTCATGTTGCAGAAGTTTAAGGAGAGTGACTTAGTTACTTTTCTCTCATTGCTGAGACAAAATATCCCAAAGTTAAAAGAGGAAATACTCTAAAGTTAAAAGAGGACACCCAAAGTTAAAATAGGAAAGGTTTATTTAGCTCAGTTTGTAGAAATTTCAGTTTATAATCAGCTGGCTCCAAGGCAGGGTGGCACATGGCATGGGAGCAACAGTTCATGACGGCAGAAGACAGCAAAGGCAATGAGACAGAGAATGCAGAGACAAGATGTTTTTTGTCCCTTATTATATGCAGGCTACCTGCCCTAGGGCTGGTGCAACACAGCCTTAATCCCAGCATTGAACCTTGAATCAATCACAAACTAGATTGACTCACCTCCACAAAAGCCTGAGACTACATGAGGCTTTGGGGGCACATCCAGACACAGACCATAACAAAGGGAACTGCAAGCTCTAAGTCCACCTCACTCTGATCACATGTCCTGTCCACTCCCTAAAACCCAGGTAGTGCTGTGAATTTTTTGGTTTATTCCATTCCATAGTCTTTGATAATGTGGAATTTTATCCATATAAAAGTATACTTTTGTTTTATCTTTTTTTTGAACTTTATATTAATGAATTCAGAGAGAGATACATTCTTTTTTTTTGGAACATCTTTTTATAGGATTTGCTCATGTTACTCATAACTGTACTTTATTTATGTAACATATATACCACTCACTGATGGACTGTCATTTTTGGTCCGTTCTTCTGCTTGAAACCTAGAATTAGCTGTCATGAATGTTCTTATATCAGTTGGGACACATGGGCAAGATTTCTCTAGGGTGTGTGCATGGAAGTGGAACTGGAAAATCCTGACTCTTGCTAGACAGTGATGAATTGTTTTTGGAGGTCATTATGCATACATATATCCCCTCCATTGTGTGCATGAGTTCATTTTTCTCCATATTCTTGCTAGTACTTGGTATTGCTGAGGTTGCTTTTTTTTTAGTCTACAAGTGATGGTATATTGTGTTGTATTTGATTTTGTTTCTGGTGTTTTTGAATGACATTGAAAAGTATTTTATGTGTTTACTGGACTTTAGGTATGTGTGTACACAGCTTGCGTATCTTTCTGTGGAGCTACTTTTCTTTTGGATCCAGAGTTCTCACATATTTACCATAATAGTCCGTATTATTTAGATAAGTTGCAGATTTCCTTTTCTGCTCTTTGACATGTTGTCATTTCTTTTTACAGTGTGTCTAAAAAGTTAGACATTCTCATAAATAAGTCAGTAGATTATGATTAGTGTGTCTTGTTAAAGAAATCCTTTTATATCTTGAGATCATTTAGATATACATCTTTTCTAAAAGCTTTATGTTTTACCTTTCACATATGTATCTATAATCCTTGTGACACTGATTTTTATATATGATTGAAATACAAATGAGTTTTACCGTTTTAACATACGGATCCTGATTAGTGCCATATGTTAATAAGTCTGGCCTTCATTGGTCTCTATTAATACTTCTGCAAAAACATTGCTCTGACTAGAAAAAAATGTTGTAAAATCCAGAGGCCCAGTTTAGATCACAGAGAAGTGAATCTTCTGAAGTCTTCACATCAGATCCAGAGCCTATTAAGAAGGTGAGTTTGATCCAGTACCTATCATGTTTCATATATAGAAAGAATGCAGAAGACCAAGGAAGTTTAGAATTGTACTAGTTATAAATAAATAGAAAGCTAAATACTGTAAGGAGCAAAACAAATACAGTGGGAACATTTTTGTTTGTGAGCATTTTAATTCACAAACAGAAGTTTTGGCAAAGTTGTATTTTTGTTTGCAAATTCTACATCAGGTGGTGAACACAGCCATGGCTATAATTCTTGCACAGACATAAACCTGGCCATTTTTTCCAGGATTGTGGAATGAATTAAGTTTGTGAATCAAGGTACCATTGTAAAAGTTAATCATTTAGAGTAAAAACATTTATTATTTGGAGATCCATAATTATTTTGATAACTAAGTAAAAGACCTATTAAAAAAAATCTACACAGTCTTATTGAGAGTCCCAAAAATTCACCAAGAAAAATCAAGAGAAATATCATAGTCATGAAAGGAAAAATGATTATTGTAAGAAGCTGATTTTTTCAAATATGTACTTTTGTAGTAAAACTAATATAATTAAAATCCTTAAAGAATTTCTCTTGAGGTGTAGTGATTATGTATTTTTGGATGTGCAAGAATATGTAAGATGTTGAAAAGAAGACTGAGAGACAACTTGCTTTGTTGACATATATAGTGAGGCTTTAATAATCAAAACAGTATAGCATGAAACAAGACAAATTGATGGCCAGAGTGGAAGGTCCAGGGGTAGATAATTTGAAATGTGAAAATGGTCAAATCTAAAGTTATCAGTGAAGAAAATAATTAGTAATTGGTAGATATTTGGCTAAGTGTTACAAAAAATATTTTAGTGATTTACCTAACATAAAAATTCCAATTAATGTGTCTTCAAAGTCATGTAGTGTCTGATAGTTCTATTTGAGACTTTCTATATCTTTCCTTTCTCTCATTGTGGTCATGCTTTCCTTAGTATTTTTATACATACAGTAGGTCTAATATTTATAGTAGATGTTGTGTATGCTACTAGTGATGGAACCCAGGTCTTTGTACATGCTGTATAATTTCTGTATTACTGAATTACATCCCTAAACCCTTTAATAGTTGTTTTAAGATCCTTGCCTAGCAGTTTCATTGGCTATCTCATTTCTGTAATATTTCACTCATAGATATTTTTTCATCCTTTTTATTGTCCTATTTTTCTACTTCTGATAATTTTTTAGGAGATATCAGATATTGTGAGCACTTTTTGAATTTAATTTTTTTGAGGGCGGGAGGTTTTTTATTTTTGTTTATTTGGGGCTCTTAGATAAGTGCAGATTATTGAGGCTTTAGAATTTGTGTGATGGATCCAGAGTAGACTTAATTTGGGATTGAACCACACTAAGTTACAACCTTTCTAAGAACTCTACCCAACACATTTTGCATTTCAAGGCCTGTGAGATTTGTCACTAGCTGTTGGGAACACAAACTATTCTTTATTCTGAGTAACCTTCTCATTTTTCTTTTTCCAGCCTCCCAGGTCTCAGGGTATGGTACCTCAGGTCTGTTTAGATCAGGGCTACAGAGGACAAATCTTAGCACTGATTGTTTCACAATTTTCCCTCTTTTTCCCCCTTTCTAAGCACTGCAGGTATGTGTATATATGTGTCCATGTATGTTGTACATGCCATTTTATGAGAGAGAGAAAGAGAACGAAGTCTTTCTGCCTTGGCTTCCCCAGTCTCCAGCCCCTCTCTCCCACAGTGAGATGCCTCTGGAGCCCTTTGTACCCCTCTATGCCTGTGTTACAGCAGACTGGCTTCACCTTTCCCTTCTCTGAGACCACAGATCTGTGCTGCCTGTTGTCTGATTTGTAAAAAATGACATTTCTTATACAATATACAGCTTTACAGTTGAGAAGTCTTGGGTCTGAAGAAAGCCACTCCGTATGCATTCCTAGCACTTTGACACCAATGTGAATTTTTCCCATACCAAGCAATTCTGCAAGTCTCTGAATACCAGCTGGTCTTCTATACTTAATTAAGTTCTGACACTTTCCACCTGCAATGTCAGCTCTCACAAGTTAGTGGCTCAGTTCACAAGTAGACTGCCCTATGTCAGATGCCAGTCACAAGTTTGGGCTTCTGAGCAACCAGCTGTGAACTAAGGGATCTTATCTTCGCTTCTGCTAGTTCCATAAATTTTTAGAATGGCTCACAGAACTTGGTGAGCCTATGTTTAAATAATGAGTTTCTAGTGTCTTTCTCATGTTCAGCCCCATCCTGAGTCTGTTAGCAGCCCCACCATATGTCATCTCAATAACATGAAGTCAGGTGTGATGGAGGGGAAGGAACTTCAAGAGTAACAGAACATACCCCTCTCATCCAGGAAATCTCATAGGATTTAGGAGCTCTATGCAAGCAAACAGGAACAAAGGCCAAGTAGGTTTCTAATTATACCACATTGGTGGATTTTTTTTCAGGTGACAGGATTATTATGGTATTTGTGTTCTCATGTAACACAATAGAGATGTAAAATGCTGTACACTTTAATTCTCCTGGGGGAAATAGCAGAGGAACAGAGGCTTAGGAGGTGGAGACATGCTTTCAGTGACTCGGTGTCAGTTGTAGTTACTAATGATAGAGTTGCTGTAGCCTCACTATAGGCAATTATTTTTCTTTAACAAAGGTTGTTAGTTAAATTTTAACATGAATATTGATAAGAATTTGCATAGTCTATAATTAACGCATTTATAAACAGATACAAATGTATACCATCCTCTTTGCATTTCCCAAGGTCTATAGGATCTAAATCTAAGAATTCAGCTTATATACATTAAAGGACATATAGACAGTATTAAGTCACAGCTCATAAAATAGAATCAGACTGTCTAGCAGTAAGTGAGATCTTAATATCATCCAACTTCACTTTATACTTGGTGTCTCTGACTTGGATCAGTTTAATATCTTTCCAAAGGTTTTGAAGTAGTTGTAAGAAAAACTGTAATGCAGGTCATATGTTTTTGCTCGTTACAATGTTTAAGTTAGGATGTTGCTGGATCTGTGGCTTCTCTCTAGTTGGGTTTAGTGTCTTCTTCTGTCTCCTACCATCTCCAGAAGCCCTTACTGTTATGGGTGTATCCCCAGAAGTGAGTCACTTCTCCATCGATGATACAGTTGTTCTTGCTCCTTTTTTGAGGCTGTGTAACTTCATATATATAAAATTACTTTTTCTTGTTTTAAAAGTTACAGGAACAAAACCACTGTCCTTCCGAATTCTTTGAACACTTTACTTGTATTTGGTCACAGTCCTTTTTAAAGTTTAGGATTTGGAGGTTTCCTTTTATTGAAAAATTAAGTAGTTTGGTTTCCTGGCATTTTTTGTGAAAGTCATCTCTCCTAATAATGGACATTGAGTTTCATAGCTTTACCAATAATGTGTCACAGAAATAACAAGGCGTCTTTGAATGCCTGATAGACTGTTAACTTTTAATTGAAGACTTTTGTAGGATTTTCCTGGCCTATGACTCAAAATTTTTACTTAATGAGTTAGGATAGTTATATGTGCTGTTTAAGACCAAGTTAAGATAATGATTTACTTGTTTTCATCTCCAAAAGCTAAGCATATTTGCAGCAAATATTGAATAGTCCAGTCTCCTAATCTGTACTGGACCGACTCTCCCCTGTACTGGGTGCTTAGGGTGAAATAGACTGTTACGGATTACAAACTGGTGGTCAGTTTAACACCAGCTGAATTAAATCAGTATGGTGCTGAACGTAGATGGTCCACCTGAGAAAAGTTGCCAGCATAAATAGAGATGTGGAGAAGAGTGAGGGTTGTGGGTTTCTCTAAGTGTTTCTGTTTTGAGCCATTGGTTCTTCTGGAGGAGCTCGTCATGACTAGCTTTCCCAATGTGAGTTTGACCATTGTCATTGGAGAACCTTGGGACCTTGTTGGTGAGAGTGGCTGTTGTTCATTTTGGGAGGAGCTCTGTTCGTTATATCAAGCATCGCTTTCTGGTTCCAGAGGGGGAAGATATGTGCTGTTTAATTTCCAGGAGAAACTTGTCATGCTGGCTTTCTGGCATGTACTCAACTGTTGTTATTGTCGAAGGAGCTCGGGACCTCAGTGTCGCTGAGGATGGCTGTGATACTACTTGTCAGAGCAGCCCTGGTTCTTATTATGAGCGTGACTTCTCAGCTCCAATGTAAAACCCTCAACCTAGCAGCACAGCTCCTGCACCCAACTGGCATAGACTGTCTAGCTTCCACGATTAACTTTTGGGCCTTCCCAGCACAGATCTGTAAAAGAGACTGGTGTGAGTCCTTCTCGTGGGCTCTAAACCTCCAGTTGGACTTGTGGGAGGCATTGCCATGGGCTCTAGGTCTTCATCTGGACTCAGGTAAGACATTGCTGTGGGATCCTGAGTCTTTAGTGTTGTGGACAGATTTCCTGCACTTTCTTGTGTTTAACTCTGGGTGATCATCATAAAATATTATTATAAATTCTGTGTTCTGATTTTTATTGTTCTCCTCACAACCCCTGACTTCAACATAGGCTTAAAGGTTTTTTTATATCAAATTAGAACGCTTAACTTTATGCTTTACAGGTTGTGTGTTAGTTAAAGTGAATTTTGAGTTCTCTTGAATTCATCAGTAAAAACATATCTTTCACATGTAAAGTAAAATATTAGTTATTCAGGGAAGTTCAGGATGAAATAATAATTTCAAAAACATGGGCTTCTTTTGGTTCATTTTTAAATATTATAATTATGTTCATGCTAGCTTTTAAAGATCTAGTTTGAATTGTGCTATTGTATGTAATGCAATTACAATGCATTTTGAATTTTTGACTTTTATTCTGATAGTAAAATTAAGTTCCTTTTTTTCCACATGGAGAGCTAGAAATATTTTTGATCCATAAGCCTATGCTTTAATTTAAATCTGTGTTTCTGTTATTTGTCTTTTTTATTTGCTTCAGAATATATATATTTCTTTGTTCTACACATTAGTAAGGAAAAATTTATTTTGGGTTATATGCTATAGCAACTTATCACTTATTCTGAATTTACCTTCCTAATAATTTTGAATGTCTTGATACAGATAAGAGCTAGGTGATTAAAAATGCAAATTGGGTAACATAAGGGGCTGGCTTCTGAGTAACAAAATAAATACTAAAAAATCTCCAGATTTACTTATAAACTTCCTCAGCATCTCATATAGAACCTGTTTTTAGTCAAGGCAAAGTTCTAACAAGCCAGATTATGTAGTTTTCATGCCCACAGCGGGGTGGAAGAAGCGAGGTAAAGGGTTAGTAGAGTAGGTCAGCACATGACAGTGAAGCAAGAAAAAGGAAACACAGCAGCAGCAAACCCCAACAGTACTGTGTCTTTGATGGCTTGGTCTGGGGCCCACAGCCTCATACCCAGCCTGGGCTGAGTGCGGTCATTGTTGGTACTGCATTTGTAATAGTAACCCTGAGTCCTTCACCAGGCGGTTGGAATGTGTTTGCAGCTCTAAGAACACAGAGAAGCAGACTACATTTTAGAATAATCAAAAGGTCTAATTGTTTTACCCAGTACTCAGCTTTGTCCAGCTTTAATATATTGCCATAGTTTTTGTTTCTTTTTTAAAGAAACATTGTAGATATATTTGGAAACTTCTATATCTTTTCTTCCTGTGGGTTTATTCCATGTTAAAATTGATAATCGTAATTTCCATGCATGTTTTCTACTTACCTGGACATAATATACAGGGACATGTGTACACACACACAGAAAATAATAGGAGTCATCTGTTCAAGTTTTTATATAAATAGTACTGTACTTATAAATAGTGCTGCACTTTTTTTCTGCCACTTAATACTATATTTTGAGATTTAAGCTACATTGACAACCCCGGCTTTTATTTTAACTATTTCATATTCTGCTGACAAAAAAAACCCCACGAGGTATTTATTCACCTGTGGATGAACTTTTATCTTTTTCTACTTTTTTTTTAATACTACATATGGTGCTACACTTCTCGTCTAAGTATAGAAATGATTCTCTAGGATATATTTCTGAGATAGGTCTAACAAGTCATAAGGAGTCTATAACTTCAACTTTACCATAACTTGCCAAATTATGCTGCAAAGTAATTATCCAGGTTTCCTCTCTCCTTGATGTGCCTGGAGTTCTTGTAGCTCCAGATACTCAACATTGCTAGTTCTAGCAGTTTCTTTATTTTTAATTTGTTCTCATTTCATGAATATGAAATTACATCTCATGGTTTTAATTTGCATATTTCTCCTTTGTTGCATAGTTTATGTTACCTAGTTTATCCCTTCTTTGAGCATAGTTTATGGTAATGGCTCATTTGGGTAGCTCTCCTGTGATTTACCTTATTATATTTTCTATTTAGTTCTTTGTCTTATGATTATTAATGACTAATATGTAGGCATTTCATCCATACTGTCATCACTAACCCTTGTTCACCTATCCTGGACATGAATCTTTTGATCCTTCAAATGCCTTCTCTCAGTTTGTGGTTAGTCTTTATACTGTTTTATTGCACATAAAATTTTAACTTGAACAAAATATGTCAGACTTTTGTAGCTTTTGCTTTAGCATTTTTATGACATTCTCTGCTATGGGAATCATAGATTTTACTTTACATTATGGTAAAAGATTAGGACTTACTCTTTCAAACATATAGATATTTAATTATACTAGTATTACTTACTATACTAGTATTACTTACTGGAATTTCTAGCCTTTCCTCATTAGCAGTTGCTGTCACATTTATCAGGATCCACAATGTGCTTGAGTCTGTGTCTGAGGCTTTTGTTTCATTGGTCTGTCTGTGCCAGTAGCAGTACTGTCTTAATTTTGATGTCTAGGAGTGTGATCCCTCCTGTCAATGCTGTTGGCATATTTCAGGAGTATTTTGGCCATTCTTATCCTTAGATAATTTTTATATGGAATTTATGTTTAAAGAAGATGTATAATGTATATGAAATTAAGGTGCTTTTTTAAGCATCCTGCTAGGATTTTGATTTAAATTATATTGTATTTATTTAATTTGGGTATACCTAATTAATTATGAAATAAAAATATTTGAGTCCTTAAAAGATTAAAACTTTCCTAGGTTTTTGCAAAATTCATGTCAAGAATGACCAGTCCTACAAGGGTTTTTGAATAATCAAAGTTTTATTATATTTAAATAAAGAAAAGCACACCATTAAAAATGTTTATTTCTGTGTTGGAATATTCAAGAAATTAAATATTTAAGTCTTAAATTCATTATGCTTGCTAATTTCTTCATTAAATATTTATTAATTACTTGTTTTATGAAAGACTTTCTGCTATGTAATGTGGCAGTGATTTGAAAATCCCCAACAGGTAGTGGCAGGAAAGTTTCCTGGCTTTAGTTTTTAGTACATTATACATGATACAGTATTTACTTTCAAGATCCAAGATGCTGATGGTATTGGAGAAGATCATATTTCCCACATTTGCTACATGTCATGTGTCAGATATCCTGTGTTTTTATCATTTGTCTCAAAAAATCTAACGTCAGAGATAATGAAATGTTGGCTCTATTCTATTTTATCAAGCCATGCTAAAAATTCCTTTCTTTTCCTTTGTAGAGACTCGTAGCTACTACAGGAAGCAAACAGCGCAGTCGCCTTTCTGTTATGGCTCAATACCTCTGCACCGTCAACCACAGCTTTACTATCCCAGGTCAAGCTTTTGTCCCCAAACCACAGGTAAGTTTCTGCTTATTCGTTTTAGTACATCAGAATTTGAATTTCTGGATCTAATATTTATTTATATGCAGTCTGTTCCATCATTATTATTTTTTTTTTTTATCTTGAGTAGGAGCTATGTACTTTTTGGAATTTGTTCCCTCCTTAGAGTGATTAAATAGGTTTTTGTAGTGGTTTAATTATCCTTATCTTGTCATCATTATCATTCCCTGCTGCTCTTAAAAATATGCCAGTATGACAGATAAATGACATGGTCATTCTGACTTTTAGAAAAGAAATCAAATTTTTGTGTGTGTGATTTCTGCTAGAGAATTCTAACTAAAGTTGGATCAAATATTTATTGAGTAGATTTTTTTTTTTTTTTACATTTTTGACAGGATCGTAATAAATCGTATGTGGAAAAATAGTTATGCTGCTTACATGAGTAAGTTTTAATGGTGAAAACAAAGTTTTTGTATGCCAAATAAAAAATGCTGGCATCTGTTCTGGCAGAAACATTGCTTGATGAGTTGTTATAGAGAATGTACTATAAAAAGTCATGTGTTTCTTCACTGGATTGAGCATTGACTCTGAAAAGTGCTGGGCTGGGTATAGGACCTGTAGGGAGGTCCTTCATCAGACACTGAATCTGCCTTCAGGGAGTTCAGAGCTGACAATGAATAGAAGTCTCTGGTAGCTAAAACTCTTAAATACAGAGTTTCCTTTACATAATTTTCCCTTATAAATAAAATAACATGGAAAAGTTATATTACAGTTTGTATCTCACATATTTAAAATGAGCTCTGTTGTGTGTCTTGGAGCGTCTGAGACGTCTATCTTCACCTTCTTTGCTACCATCTTAACACTTCCTCTGCCATTTTCTCCTCCACAGTTAGCTGAACTTTCAGATGACCTCAAGAACTCATTCACCTTTCACTTCTTTAACAGACTTACTTGCCAGCTTTTCTAAAGAAGCCTCCAGAAACTCACTTGCAGTCCCACCTCTCTTCAGTCTCAAGGTTTGAAGGCCATTGTAAATGACTTCTCCCAAATAATCGGATCATAGACATAACTTTATGATGAGAGCTGTCTTACAGGCCATAATCAGTGTTAACACATTTGTGCTTTCAAAGAACTTTCTCTCTTAAAACAGGCAGCCATACAGTTTTCTTTCTTCTTGTCAGGTATATATATCTACATACAGCCTTTTGAATGTTTATAGACCTATGATATCAGAAACCAAGATCATGACTTACAGGTTTTTGTTGCTATACTATAAAAATCTTTATCTAAATTTTACCAAGGGTTTCTTAAGATAGGTGATATTGAGCAAAAAGTTTCTCTTGGTTTTAATTATATAATGAAAAATATTTTTATCATATTTATATATTATTATCAACTTTATCTTTGATTTAGGATATGGTATCTATGTAGTTAATTAAATTTATTTTCTTCTCAGATTAAGGCTCAAGAAAACATTGTTTTTAGAAAACTGTTTAATTCTCTTATTTAAGGATATATGCCTTTTGGCAAATTAAACAGCAATTTTCTTATGCTTTCATTATGTTATAAATGCTACATGCATTTACTTATAATTTAAGAAAACAGTTGTCAAGAAAGAAAATGTATTATGTTAAAAGAAAGCAAAATAATTAAATTTTTTTCTTACAGAATTTTCCTTTGCTCTGAACTAGTTTTACTATATTAGAAAAAAAATTAGGAATCCCCTAAGGAAAACTCAAAAATATTGGACTGTTGGTTACAGAGAGTTTTAAAAATTCATTTCCTCAGATTAAAAAAGGGAAGCATTCTTACGTGGGTGATAGGAGTTATAGGATACATACTATTAGCTTAAAGTCCCTTTGGCTAAACCTGTTAATTGCAAACAGAGAAAGCACTAGACACAGCCACACACAAAATAAGGTAAGCTGGGTACTAAAATAGAGGTGCAGGCACATTCTTGGGGGAGGGAGGTCAACAGGAGTAATTAATAGTGCTCAGTAGAAATTTACTAATATTCATTGCTTATTTTCAATCAGCTGTTAAGAATTAGATGGGAAGAATTTCTTTTGTGATAGAACAGTCTTATTTATATGCACATTAGGATATTTTCCTGTAGGAATCTGCTATCCCTTCTGTGTATAGGTCTTTTGATTAGCCAACTCAATCAAGCATTAATGGCAGAAGTTTACTAACATGAAACTCTTACTGAATTTTTTTTCTGAGTAGTTGATTCTTGCCATAATTTTTTCTGACAAACTTTTCTTTATCCCTGAAATTTGAACCTCAAGTACTTTTCTATTACACAAAGACGTCTTAGGTTCTTAATTAGCCTAGTCTGCTTTGGTATTTCTTAAAGTAACAGAATGTGTATGATGTATTTATTAAGTTAGAAATTTTTTTGTGTGTTTTTATTTCATTGTTAAATTACTTCACAAAGGGGCCGAGGATATAGCTCAGTGGCATAATGCCTGTCTGGCAAGTGCAAGGTCCTGAGTTCGATTCCAGGTACCAAAAATAAAACTTTTTTTCACCAACTGGAAAGAATTTCTTTTAAGAGTACAAACTCACACTTAAAAAATGTTTTCGTGACACAATAGTTTATTTCTTAAATATTTCAAGCTACTTTTTGAGAAGACCCATTCCTTGAGGATACACCTGTTTTTGGATTCTGCACAAATTTTCTTTCAGCTAGTCTGCACATTACCCAAACTTGAGAAATACTGAGCTATTAGCAAGTCCTCAAAATTTGTTGTAACCTTTTTGGTTTTATAAACTGTAGCAATAGGCCTCATAATTTGATATCCATCTCACAGATCTCACTGATCTCTTGTACGCTATCCTAGATATGAGTTGTCACAGGCTCTTTGATTGCACTGGTAGAGTCTGTGGACTTCATAGTGAGCTAGACTTACTGGAATTTCAGCACCCCTAAGTAGGAGAACCTATCAATTAACTAACTTTAGCACGTCCAAACAGGGTTCAGAAGGGCTGTTGTGAGGAATAGCAAGAGTAGTGCTGAATGCCCACTGAATCAGGCACATGGAGGCAATGAAAGGTAGTTGTGAATAGTAGATTATAAACAAATAGTATGGGTTATAATCTTTAAGGTATACACACTACATCTGCTTTACCTCCGTATGTATGATATACTCTACACAATACCTTCCATACTAAAGTGCTGTGAACTTAAACATAATCAAACTACAGGCATATGTGTGTGCATTACCGTATACACATATACATACATATATACACACTTCATAGCTGCCTTATTTATTTTGATAATGTTTTAATCAAAGAAAAATAAATGTTTAAATACATTCAATAAATGAGATCAAACTTGCTTTACCTCATAACTACTGACGTTTGGAGCCAGTTAATTCTTTATTAAGAAGTATTTCATAAGTTTAACAGCATTCCTGCTCTCTTCACACTAGCTTGTAGCAGTAGTTCATCCATGATAACCCAAAATATCTCCAGGCATTGCCAGTGGTCCCCTCTAGGTTACACTCTGCCTCTGTGAAAACCACAGGATTGGGTCACGAACTGCTGGGTGGTATGCAGACTTTCTGTGCTAACTGCCCAGCACTTGTCTCAGGTCAGCTCTGAAAATTGGTGCCATATTTGTTCCCATCTTCACATGAGCAAACCAAGACTTTGTGTGAGTCCAGTGTACTGCTCAGCCTTTAGAGCTTGCACCCAGGTGGTTTGATTCGGAAGCCTGGTTCACCCAGGCCAAATCCATCTCTCCACTTACCATCTAGGTAGCATTGGGCAAGTTAGGTAAGTAATTTAACCTGTCTCAGCCCCAATTCCTATACGCTTCTGAGACTCATGTCCACATGTTAGAGTTGTTAGGAGGTTTAAACCAATCAGTATATGCAGAGGGTTTAGATCAAAACTGGCCTGTGGCATTTACAGTAGTGGCAAGACACTGAGGAACAAAGGTAAAAGCAGCATCTCATCTCCCAGTCAGGGTGGAGAAGCTCATAACCTGTTCATATAGAGCATTTTCTGAGTGCAGACATTGAGGCCATGAATCTCTGGGGGCTCAGGATTCAGTTTACAGAGGAAGCTAGTGGGAGCCCAAAAGGAGCAACAGGAGCTGGGCCGAGGCAAGAGGATTGTTAGTGGAGAAATACACGCAGCACAGGTGGCATTGTGGGGGCTGCACACCATTTATTCATCCTTACTCTTCAGTACACATAGAACTGGGCCTTTATTTTGTAGAAAGTGGCTGCTTTTCTGAGAGTTGGAAACGCTCCTCCTAACTAGAGGTAATTAAAACCTTTTTTTTTTTTAAGTGGGAATACTATTACCTAGAATGTATGAGGTGTATTTTTCATACAGTATAGGACTCTAGGCTGTATAGACTGTATATAAAAAGACACATTGAGTAGTGTGAGGGAATAGAGAGTTGTCAAAGCAGGCCTAGCAAGTTAATTTGCATAAAAATAGTCGTATCAGAATTCTTTTCAATGTGACATTTTCTTTTGTTTAGAAGTAATATTTTGACCACTCAAAGGGAATATGTACTTTTAACAGTCACTTAAACTTGTGCTGAAATGATTTCCTTCTAAGCTCTCATATGAAACAGTACCTTCTTTGTGTTTTGCTATCCCCTTAATAGCTAATGATATTGATGCAGAGGAAAATGATGATCTACCAAGTAAATAGGTATAAATAAAATATTTCAGTATTTGTTTTTATATGTACAACTGGAATTTATAGTATCTTCCTACTTGCTTAGTTATTAATATACATTTTTCCTTTTGCCACTTACTATAAACAATACCTAAATTGCATGTTAACAAATAATTAAAAACAGATATGCAATTTTCCTTTGCCCTATAGAAAATCCAGTTATTTTCTTAAAATATTTAGATACATATCATTAGGTAATACTTGAATTTGTATCATGAACTAATATTAACATATTTTAATACACATCACATTCTTTCAACCTGTATTCTAAAAGTGGTTTTATGCTTTAAATATCATTACTTGCCCATTAATTAATTGAAGCAACTCATGTATAAGAGCATTATTTTTGTTGAATCAAATTTGAGGAGAAAAATGACAACTTATAGTAGTTTTCAGCATTCAATAGTAATTTGGATAGTATTATGATAGATTAAGTGGGGCAATAATAAATCCAAACTGTCACAGGAGAAATGAACGGAATCTGGAGAATTCTTTTGCTAGAAGCTACAATTGAGTTCTTGACCATTTTAAAACAAACATGTATCTTATCACGGCTCCTACCTAATATTTTAAGAGGTTTTAGTTTGTGTTTGTGTTGGCTTTTCTATGATGTGGCAGCATTTACAGTTTCTTTGCCTAATGTTAACTTTTAATGTCTACTCCTGTACACATCTGTGTATACTTTTATAATTTGAAAATGAGAGTGGAGGTCGGGACTCTAGATGGATGGTTTAGGCAACACCTAAGTGGAGGGGATCATTCTTCTTTTCCCAGCATCACCTTCTTTACTTGTGACTTTAAAACAGAAGTTCTTCAGGCATAGTCAAGCAGTTGGTAAACATAGGTAACACTCTTGATTAACATGATGGCCAAGGTACTTTTTAATACTTCACAGTTCAGTGTTTTTATGAAATCCAATTTAGAAAATATCAACAAATTATTTCAAAAAAAGTACTATCAGCTGTCTTACAAATGTTGTCAGAACTTCTTACAATTGTAAACCTTTAAGTAAAACACAAAAGCAATCATGGAAAAAACGGTTTTAAAATGCAATTATATGTCATCATTACTATTTTGAACTATTCAGTAGTTTTTAAAGTATTTTGCATTCTTTGTGGAAGAAATTGAGCATAATTCTGATACTTATATCTATCATAACATTCCAGCAACCCACCAAAAGCTTCATTGCATGTGTGTTATGTACCTATTTACACGTAATCCTTCAGATTGTATGCAGAATTATTTTCTAAATGAGTGGTAGAGGGCTGCTCCTGTTTGGGAAGGGATAACCACGCTTCTGAATTCTTTTTAGTATAGGAAATGCAGAAAAGAATGCCAGAGATAAACAGCAGGATTGCTGAAATGAATCCTATGTAAATGGCTCCTCCAGGCTCATATTTATTGCTTTCGGAAACTGTCAGATCCAGAAAGTTCTCTATGATCTCCTTTGTGTACCACATTGTGGGTATTAAGCCAGAGATCCCTGAGGACATGAAGCAAACTCCTCCAGCAAAAGAAGCCTGACCCTTGGTTTCTTGATCTCCTCCTAAGTGAGTACATTTCATTCCTACTATGGAAATGCAGATGCCTAAAGTAGACAAAACACAAGCCAGGACCATGGTGGCCCTGGCAGCCTGCACGTGGACAGGGAGGGATAGAATGGAGTTCTTTAGCATGCAGCTAAACATCCCAGTGCTGTACCATGTGCAGTCCATCCACAGCCCATGCAGTTGTATAATGGCGGTCAAGATGTTGGAGCCCATGTGCACATTCACTTTCCAGTTGGGCAGCAGAGTAGCTGTGAGCACTCCAGAGACCCCACATATGGCCAGGATGAAAGCAAGGAGCTGCAAACACAGCAAGGCCATGATGTGGAAGATCTTGATGCTAACTATGTTAATGCTCAGTTCAAATTGTAGCGAATTTCTGTGTAGTAGAGTCAAACAACAATAGCTAGGGAAAGAAGAAGACAAATCAGGATTAAAGGGAAGAAAGAACGAGTAAACAAAAAAGTTTATCTTTAGAATAGAATCCAGAACACATCTGAATAGGCCTCCCACCCCCACCCCGCTATGCACATGCGTGCTCACACACACAGCAGCTGCCACTGCAGCCCAGGAGAAAAGGTCACAGCAGGCTCGGAGACTGACATCCTTCCTAGTGATTCTGCATGGGGGCTGCTTGGTGGCATAAAGAAAGTTGTCCACTTTGTTCTTTGGAGAACCCAAAATACGGGGAAAATGTAAAGATACTTCAAATTCCAGCTATAGTATCCAATAGAGAATTATATTAGTATTGTTGATTTTTTTAAAATGACATTGTTTTTAATGAAAATGCTTTATAGGTTATAATTCAAATACACTTCAGAATAATTTATAAGTATGTACTTGACAACTTGTAAGTGTTCAAGAAATATTTCTAAGTATTTAACCATTCAAGAAATGGTCTTAATAAACAAATTTTTATTCAGCAATGCGAGGTGCCGTGTATGTGACTCAGTGGATTGTTTAAAAAGAAAGCAGTGGAAGAAAGTGAGTTCCTGGCTTGATTTTCCAGCATTTCTAGGTCATATCCAATTGTACAGTCCTTTCGTAGCACTTGTTTTACTTTAGGTACCTGGTCCCTGAATCAGGAACAGTTGAGCTACTGTTTTTTGCTATGAGAATGTGAGCAGTCCTTTCTAGTTGAAAGCAGAATTGTTCCCTGACCCAGATGCAGAGTTGACTACAAAACCAGCTGTTTGAACAGTTCAGACAACAAATCTCAAAATATCACAAATAGACACATCATTGATTGTGTGTGAGAGAATACCAAAATGAGTTAACTTTTAAAATACAGAAGTAGGAAAAAAATAACACAAACTTTATGGCTAGCCGTGTTTTGAAAACAGAAGGTCTCCCTATTTTCATCTTCCTATTCCTGTTGCACCATTATTCATTTCATCTAGTAGTACTCCTTTCTTTGACAAAGAAATATAATGGTTTTTAATATACTTCTTTTGTCTAACTGAATTAATTTCAAATGATGTACCATAGGGGTTCTGTGAGATTTGTGTGTATTTTGTAAAAAGTAGGGTAGGCTCTTGATCCAAACAGTCTGGCCAGTTCTTGGTTTTGTGTAACTTCTCTAGTCTTTTAATATCTTACTCTGGAAAAAGAAGAATCTTGGTACTTATGCTATATGGTTAGATGAATTGATTCATTTTAAGAACTTATAACAATAACTAAGCCACAGAAAGTATTCAGTGGTTTATAACTGACATCACTAGTATTTTTTGTTTCATGTCATCGATATTTAAAGACGTTTGAAACTTGTTTTTTCTCTGCTTTCTTTGGCAGATTTATTTTCTTAGGCTCTTAGAGCTAAAAGAACACTTAGTTATCATCTTGGATATCATTATTTTGTCAGATTAGGGCATTCAAATAAGAACCCACCGTGTGCTCTACAAGACCTTGTGCCCAGGTCCGACTTCTCTCTTCCTCCTGTCCTTCATCCTGCTTATCCTCCATTCATACCACTATACTTCCTATTGCAATCTCCCTGCTGTGAGTTTCCCATGGGGAGCTAAAAACATTGTTACAACAGTTTCACCCACTCCTTTTCCCACAGTGGGGAGAAAAAAGGACTCCCACTGTCCATAGCTTCTATTTTTGTTCATAATTTTAAAATATAAAGTCTACAGTTTTAGAGGAGGATTTCCCAAGATTTGAAGTTCTTAAGTGTCAGACTCCTCTGTAAAAATCAGTGTGCTTAGGTTCTGCTTGCTGTCAGTTCATTCCTGCTTTCCAAATTTATTATGAGTCCAAAATAGAACAAAAATTAAAGTTTCTTAAAAATAAGAACATATTTACAGTTCTATAATAGCTGTTTTCAAGTTTAACTAGCTTTTAGCATTTTAGACTCTAGCCAGCTTGCTAAATTACTGCCTCCCAAATCATTTGCAGCCTATGATTCTCCAGCAGTGAGACTGCTGATAATACTCCTTAAGATCTATTTGCTTGCTTTTTCTTTCTTTTCCTTCCTTTCTTTCTTCCTTCCTTCCTTCAAATAACCTTATGTTATCAGCCTGTTTTCTACTTACTAATTATAACCTTTTCTTCATATTAACCAATACATGTTATAAATTGCATTATCATTCAGACCTGTAGGCAGCTTGTTCGTCGTAATTAACAAGTACTGGCAGTGATAAATTGCAGATAGGCAAAATGAGAGTAAGTAATATGATATTACCTCTAGTTAGCATAGTACTTGCTTAGTGTTGCAGATTGTACTTAAATTGCTTTCTTCTGCAAAGAAAACTTACATAGAAATAACTTGTTCTCCAAAATGAAGGTCACTATTCATTTCTTTTATATAAATACCTATACTGTCATTGTACCTCTGACATTTTTTGTCTCTCCAGCCATAGACACAATACAGTTTTTGTGGCCTGTTCTCTCAAACTTTGATGTCATAAATATAGGCATATATACTGTGTTTCAGTGGTAGCAGTAGCAGTGGCTTTGGCAGAGAAATACTGTGACAGTACCCAGAAAGAAAGGGGTGGTACACAAACTCAGGTGCGTGAAGCGAACACTTGCAGTCCCAGACACTGCACACAGAACAGACCTCAGAACGCTGAATTTATGAACTGTTTGCCAAAGGAAATTTTGCAACAGATTTCATTAAAATGTAAATCCAGTTTTCTAGGCAAAATTTATTTCTATCAAAAATACTATTTAATAACATATTTACAGGCTGTAATTCAGGCTAAACAATACCCAAAGATTTCTATTTACGTGTCTGAGCTTTCTAGATGCTTCTCATTTTCCATACCTTTTGTCAGTAGCCTTCACCGTCTTCACTCCTCTCTGTAGATTATCTTCAAATTACTGTAGTCTCATTTAGAGCTCATGAAAAGAAACCGTGTGTGAATCTTGTTTCTGAGAGTCCGAATTGTTTCTATAAAGCTGCAACAAGTTAACTTGAAAATAGCAAATAAAGAGCCACATAGAAATCAGAGAGGTGAAAAATGCTGATGGTGCTGGAAGATAAATACCAGGTTCGCCATCTCATTTTTTGAACTGTGGGAGAATTAAGAAAGGAGAGGCGGGGAAGGGAGGCAGTTGTTGTTACAGCAGGATTTGTCAGAACCTGAAAGCTAAAAATGCTTTTGTGTCACTGCATACAGAGGAAGAATTATTTGAGTGCCTACGAAAAGACTTTCTTTTCTTTTAATATTCTGTTTTCATTACATGGTTATAACTTATTTTTGAATTTTGTCTATGTTGCAAGATGTTTATTATTTTGTGTCCTCCTTTGAATATGATCTGAAATATTTTAAACCTTTATTAGTACATGTTTGCAGTACATAATGATTACTTTCATTGTGAGGAATTAATTGGTACATGTACAAAACACATCTCAGTTCTTTTTTATTCCCATTTTCTTATCCCCTTTTTAAAAATTATTTTTATCAGATGCATTTATTTTCTAAGTCCTTATGAAATTAATTGTTGTACAGAATAACAGCCAGACTAACAAGCAAAAAACCATAAAACACATAAGACGATTATATTAAATCAAAGTACACTTTTAGATACATTGTCTATGTTGGATTACAATAACTTCTCTTTTTTGTTTTTTACCTTGCACTTTGTATGTTGGACTTCTGATAACAGAAACTGTGATATTGAAACTTGTGTGTCGGATTTACTTAACATTATTGTTTCCAGGTGCATCCATTTTCCTCCAGAGGACTCAGGTTTATCCTTTGTGGCAAAGGAGTACTCCGGTAAAATACCATACTTTTTTTTTATCAGTTCATCTGCTGATGAATATATAGAACCATTTCCAAGATTTAACTACAAATTAATTCGTGAATATTGTTCTCCTCTAAACATGGGTATGCATACACCACTGTGGGTATCATGTCTTTGGCTCTTTTGGAGAGCCATGGAGAAGAAGAATAGCTGGGTCAAATGAAATTTGTATTTTTAGTCTTTTGAGGCATCTCCATACTGATTTCCATAGTGTTTGTAGCAGTTTGCACTTCCATCAACAATGAAGAAGTTCTTTTTCTCTGCAGTTCATCCAGCATTTGTTGTTGGTTGACTTCTTAATGGTAGCTGTTCTTTCTGGGGTGATATGGAATCTCAGTGTTTTAATTTGCATCTCTCGAATGGCCGGTGATACAGAATATTTTTTCATGTATCGACTAGTTGTATTTCTTCATCTAAGAAGTGTCTGTTCATTTCAGATGCCCACTTTTTGATTGGGTCTTTAAATTTTAGAGAGTCTAATTTTTCTTTTTTTTTCTTTTTTTTTTTTTTTTTTTGAGTTCTTCATGTATTCTAGATATTAGTCCTTTGTCTGATTAAGTGGCTGAAAAAAGTTTTCCCATTCTGTACGTTCTCTCTTCACTGTTTTGTTGGTTCCCTTTCCTATGCAGAAGCTTTTTAGTTTGATGGGATCCCATTTGTTGATTTGTGTAATTATTTCTTATGCAACCAGAATTCTGTTAAGAAAGTCTTTGCCTACACTTATGTCTTCAAGTGTTTTACCTATTTTTATCTTCTGCAAACTGCGTTCTAACATTTAGATCTTTGGCTCATTTTGATTTTAGTTTAGTGCAAGGTGAGAGAAGGGGGTTTAGATTTAGTCTTTAGCATGCAGATAGCCACATCCCCCAGATCCATTTGTTAAAGAAGCTTTTTTTGCAGTAAAGGTGTTTGGCCCCTATGTAAAGATAATGTAGCCAAGTGTTTTTGGAATTATTTCTGCATCTTCTATTCTGTTCCATTATCCACAAGTCTGTTTTGTTTTGTTTGCCAATACCATGCTATTTTTAGTAGTGTAGCTTTCTAGTATAATTTAATTTTTAGGATTGTGATGTTCCCTGCTTTGCCCTTGTTTCCCAGTTGCTTTTGATATTCTGGGTCTTTTCTGGTTATACATGAATTTTAGGGTTGCTTTAGTTCTATAAGGAACTGAAATATTTTAAACTGTTGGTATATTGATTGGGATTGCATTAAATCCATATAACAGTTTTGGAAGGGTGGCCATTTTTACTGTATTGGTTCTGCCTATCCAGGAACAGGGAATATCTTTCCACTTTCTGATGTCCTCTTTGATCTCCATAGTTTTCATTGTAGAGGTCTTCACTTCTGTGATTATGTTAATTTCTCAGTATTTAATTTTTCTTGATGCTATTGTGAAAAGTATTGTTTCCCTAATTTGCCTCTTAATGAGTTTGTTATTAGTATATAGAAACACTTGATTTTTGAGTGTTGACTTTGTATCCTACTACACTACTAACTTTGGTTTTTAATTCTAGGAACTTTGGTGGGCTTTTGTAGAGGATCATATTATCTGCAAATAATGATAATTTAACTTCTTTTTATCTGTGTCACTTTTCTTTCTTTTCTCATCTAATTGCTCTGGTTTGTGTTTTGAAAGTCATATTGAACAGGAGTGGTGAGAGCAGATACTTTTGTCTCATTCCTGATTTTAGAGGAAACATTTTTAGCTTCTCTCCTTTTAGTATGATGTTGGCTATTGGTTTGTCATAGATGGCTTTTATTAGATTGAGATACAGATCTGCTATAACTGTTTTTCAGGTATTTTTAAAATCATGAATGCTTTTTGGAGCTGAGGATCTAGCTCAGCGACATAAGCGCCTGCCTTGCAAGTGTGTGGCCGTGAGTTCGATCCCCGATACTGATTTAAAAAAAGGAAAAAGACAAAAAAAAATCATGAATGCTTTTTGTCAAATACTTTTTCTGTGTCTATTGAGATGTTCATTTTTATCCTTGCTTCTATTTATTGATGTATTACATTTATTGATTTGCATATGTTGAACCATCCCTACATCTCTAGAATGAATCCTGCTTGGTCATCAGGTATAAATTTTTGATGATTTCCTGCATTCTTGTTTGCCAGTATTTCATTGAGAAGTTTTGCTTCTGTGTCCATTAAAGAAATTGGCCTGTAGTTCTCTTTTTTCATTAGGTCACTTTCTGGTTTTTGGAATCAGAGAAGTGCTGTTTCTGAGAATGACTTTGGGAGTACTGCATTCACAGTTATGTTGTTAGGAGACAATCACCTACAGTGAGAGAGAGGTCAGTTGTGATCATGTGACTTGACATCACCTACTACTTGTATTGCAACACATCACTTGTTTATCAAGTTAAAAATTATTAGAAATGTTTGCTTGTCTTGTGGAACATTCATGGGACAAATTACTTGCTGTCCAAGGTTCTATTATATTTTTGTTTTTGTTTTCACTTTTCTAAGTGTGGCAGTTAGACATTTTCTTCTCTTAGGAATCTGTGGATTTTCTTTTTAGTCACACTGTTATATTTTGATATATAAACTCTTACTTTGTGGAAATACATGAGGAATTTCACATATAAATACTGAAGTAGAGTTGAATTGCAAGCATAATAACAGCATTGCTGTACTGCTGCAGTAACCCATCTCTTGCTGAAGAAACCCTTCCAGGTCCCTTTAGCACGATGGCTTGTTTGGCTCCTTGCTTTGGGAGTTGTCAGTGCAGACACACTGACCAGAGACAAGAAGAAGGACCATTCTTCCCCCAGCCCTGAAGCAGAATGAAGTATAACAGTGCAGGTGTATATAGAAATATAATGATGCTGGGTGGCTGTGGTAGCACGTGCCTGTAATCCCAGCACACCTGGAGACTGGGGCAGGAGGATCTCAAGTTTGAGCTCATTATGGACAATTTAGCAAGACCCTGCCTCAAAATTGCTTTGAAAAGGACTGGAGATACAGCTCAGTGTAGGTCTTAGGGATTAATCCTCAGTACTCCAAAAAGGAAAAGGTGGGGGGGGGGGAGAAGAATACAGAAAAGAAGCATCAATGTGCTATCTCGTTATGATGTGAACATTAAAAAACTAAATCTTTTAAGTCTGGAGACTTTTCCAAATAGATTGTATAGCCCCATAATTTCAATCTTTTGCCTGATCCCATTCCACACCCCCCAGACTCCCCGAGCTGTTTCCATTGGCCACGTGACATCACTATTGGGCATTGCAGATGTGTCATGGCACAAAACTGAACTCTTCATTGCCCCTAACCCCAAGGCACTGTAATGCTTAATTCAGAGTCTATTCCTCTAAGGGCAGAGGAATCCACGTTTTGCAGATGAAGCCAAGCTACAAGGAAGAGATGTGACTAGGGTAAACAGGTAAGATGTTGTAATAGGATCAAGGCCAGAATAGCGCAATGTTTGAGGCCTTCCACACTACAGAGCAGAGTCCTGCCTCCACTTTCAGAAGAGTGCACATCCGGGTCTGCATCTTGTCCTACTGACCATTTCTTTCTCTGGTAATCTTTGTGAACCATGGATAGACGTTAACCCTGAATCACTGTAGCTTCATGTGTAATGTTTACTTCTCATTCGGAAGCAAAGTTCATTTTGGATCAAGTAATGTACAGGAAGTTTTTCTTTGAAACAATTTCATTTATTTCTAAGAACAAATTACATGTGATCCCTTACTGTGTTGTGTTAATTAGTGCTGCTAGCCTGCATATTCAGACTAGCTTTTCTTTTCCTTTTAACTGGGTAGCATACAAAAATAACAATGCCACACCTCAGTATAAAGTCTTTCTTTTTCCCTTTAACTTCTTATCACCTGATCCCAATAGCAGCCTTGAGACAGTGGGCAAGGGTGCTATCTTTAATAGGGCGCCTGGGGAGCCCTGAGGGCTGGGGGAACAGTTGGATGTCATTTTCTGTATGGAGAATGCAATATAAGAAGCCAAGGCTGAAGGCAGAGAGACACTGGGAGGCTGTTGTAATAGAAGGCATGAAATGGAGCTAAGTAGCAGTAGAGTACAGTATTGTACAGGAGACAGATTCAAGAGACAGGTGTTTACAAACTCTGGAGATACAATCAAGTATGCATAATGCAGTTAGGGTCATTTATAATCTATAAAAAAGAAATCAAAATATCTTTGTTTCCAGTCTGTATTGATGCCCTACATTGTGAAAATGCATACAAGTAGTTTTGACCTTCTGTCTATTTAAAATATTTTCAGACAGAAACAGAATATATGGCTAATGAGAAGTTAAACTCAAGGACATGCATTTGGAAATCTGCCATGCAGGGCTGGTTCTATAATTTAAAACTCCTCAGAATTCCAACTCTTTCTGCCTTTCTGTTTCTTGAAGCTAAGCTCTTGGTTTTTCTTGGCTGTGAGTGGACTCCAGGATCATTCTCATGTTCTTGGTGAGAAGATAAGGGAAGAGGCTGTGGCAAAATGTTTCATCAGAAAGCCGTTTTCCAGAAATCTCTTACACATACTTACTCCATTTTGTTTTAGTGTCTCGTTTGGGAAAACCACTTCCTTTGGCCATTTCCAGCTACAAGTGGCATATGTATCTGGCTTTTCAGCTTCCTTCTGAGCTGCACCTAGCAAAAGACTAGGACTGTCTTTCGGGTGCCACAAGGATCATCATCACCACTGGACAAAATGAATCAAGAAGGTTTGAGTTGATTGTGTGGTACTTCCCTAAGCAATAGTAGTTCTTCAGTAAGGGAGGCAACTAAGGTTTTTCTTCAGATCTTAGGTCTCACTTACCACACATACCCATCTTGCAGCCTTAGAAAATTCCTGAGACCTAGACTCTGGCTTCAGTCTCTTACCAATTGGGCTGGCTGGGTTTATATTTGGTCTAGGATAGTACCTGGTAATTAAATTTGTTTTTCTAAATATTTCCCACTTTCTTGGGGTTGGGGATTTAGCTGAGTGGCATAAGCACCTGCCTTGCAAGCAGACAGTCGTGAGTTCGATAGCTGGTACTGATAAAAATGAAAAAGACAAAAAAATTCTTTCTCTTCAACCTTAAATGATGGTTAAGAGTAAGATTCTTACCTGTTCTAGTCCCACAGATTTAAAGTAATTTGACTTGATCATAAAATGCTTTTGTGACCCAGTCTTAGGAAATGAACAGGATCAGTTCCAAACATTGACAGTTCATTATCTGTCTCCCATCTCTGTAATCATCTTAATTTTAAAGTAATGCCTTAGGCTACCTTAAAGACTTTAACTTTTAAAATTGGTAGTTTGTAGATGAGCTATTAAAGCAAGGATTGTTATAAGTGAAGAATGCTACCTGGTTTAATTTGTGTTCTTAAATGTCTTATGAATCCATCCTAATTCTATTAACTTTCATATCAAAGCAGTTGTGTGTCTATACCTGTAGGTTGCATTTCTGTTGGCTCTGATTTGTCACCTTGTTATTTTTATCATGAGAAGAGATCATGAAGATTTGTTTTCTGTTTCTTCACTAAGTGACTTTAGAATTTGTCTTTAAATTTTATGGTGACATTTGAATGATAATCAAGTGTTTTCAAATTCATGAATAGCATATATATGCACTGTTGTTGTTGCCCTACTATATTCTTTGTACATCTCTTGGAAGGGCCAAGCATCTTCTAACTTGTCCTCATTATTAGTGTATCTGAGCTTGTGAGCAACAGACCTTGTGCAGGCCTCTCCTGGGCCAGGCTGTCTTTTGCCTAGCTGATCTCTTGCATCTCAGCCCCAGTCCCCACTAAAGGGTCTTCCTGGTTGGGTTCATGTGGATTTTGTGATTTTTGCCAAGTTAGAGAATTTGTAATTCTTTGGGAGCATTTCTCCTTTTCATTTTTATAACTGGTTATAGCTAAGGAGGACAATAACATCTCTTCACCTCCGGGGCATGGTAAAAAAAGGTTTTAAAAAGTGTTTTCCCCCAGGATCATCCAGGAACTCTAGATTAAGTGGAACAAGAAACTCTAATCAGTTTTTTGTTAATTCTTGTTCCTCTTATACTTTCTTTAGGATTAAGGGTTTACTTCCTTGAATTTTTTGTATCTTTTTGGACCAGGAGGCACTGACTCATCTTATTACTCAGTGCATAATTCTCATACTTTCATTCATATATTTACATACAGAAATATACAGTCAAAAACTCCCTTATCTCTTCCCTTTACCAGTGCATCGCTTAGTGAATGCCATTTCTCATTGTGAAAAGAAAACCAAAGAGCCCCCCCCCAAAAAAAATCAGTGTAAAACCTCTTCAGAAATGAGTATGGTTACAGTAACATACATACTGTAACTCTAAAAGAAAGATACTTAGGGTGTGAGAGTGTAGTCAATTTTTATTGAATACATTGGTTTGTAATACCTGGAGTACTTTTTTTAAAGTTTTACAACTGAAATTCTGTCCTTGAATTGGGTTTGGGTCAAGGATTATAGACAGGATAAACCAATTCTAAGCAATTTTATCTATATTAATATTTGATTTTTTTAGGTTGTCTATGAAACATAATTATCATCTGATAGGCATGGATGACCTGCCACCCTGTTATCCTCACCTAGAGAAATTGTAGCTTCAAGGCCTCAAATGTCCTAATGGAGACTGTTATTATTAGCTTGGTGTAGATCCTCAAAGAAGAACCAGTATCTCCAGGATGCTTATCTTACCTATTGACTCACCTGACTTTCCCAAGTCCCTGTCCTGTGCTCCTCTAGATTCTGCCAACAGCCATCAAAGCTAGGCAGATGCCTCCCATTCCTGACCACCCAAGTCTGTCTATGACATTACCATTCTGATCCTGGAGCCCATCGATGTTCTTCGCCCTTTATGAAGTATTCCCTGTAGGCTTTTTTCTTACTATGCCTCCGGTTGTTTCTCATTTATGGGTGTATGTTGGATGATTAAAAAGTAACATCCTAGTTCTTTTTCCTTGCTGCTGGCTTGTCCTTATGCTGGGCTTGAACCTCAGGAGTATTGAATGGAGCCCCTTAGAACATGGCCTGCCTCATTTGTATGTGTTCGTATGGTAGTGATTCATCTCTTTGGCATGTTATAAGGAACCAGGCTGTACATTCTTTGTTGTGGCCAGTATATCATCCTGATTAGAGATTTGAGCTGTAATATCTAAGATGTGATATTTAGTAGTTTCTTAACCCTGGTCCCTTTTGAGTCCCAAGTGCTGCTCTGAGCTAATATCCAGTCACACCCTAACACACTGGCCTGGAAAAAGAATATTGAGCCTGACATGGCCAAACTGATGACACTGAGGCACTGTCAGCTTGGTACAATGCTGCCAAATTATGTATTAACTTGAGAGATTTCTAGGTTATTTTGGTATACTTATGTATTGAATTTGGAAAGGGGCTTGCAACAGTAAACTGGAATATTTTAAGTGTGTTTAGTTCCTTTATATTGATTTTTTTTTTTAAGTAACCTAACCCAGTAATAAACTTAAAAACCCAAGGAAGAAAAATAATGGCTATCATTTTGAACATTCAATAATACATAAAAATCATTTTTTATGTTACCATAGTTACTAAGCAACCTTCCTATGATTCTAGAGTAAACAGTCTCCATCATTCAGATAATTTTAAGAAGTCTGTGTGGGGACAGGTTTGAGAAAAGGGTATACTGGAAGGTCCCTACTTCCTGAATTAAGAAACCTTACAGATTTTTTTTTTTTTTTTTTTTTTTTTTTTTGCCACTGGGTGTTACAGAGTCCTCCACTAAATAGTACAGTACTGTGTTTATAAGAAGGAATATTCTTTTAGTTGCAATACAGTGTTAGCCAATTTAACTTGGTATCAAGATTGAATTCAAACTTTAAACTCTTCTGCTGTGGTTTACATAGGTTGCTGCTCTATTTCTGCAGGGTTTTAACCTTACAGGGTTTTAAACCTGCAGAAATGTTAAAAAAAAAAAAAAAAAAAACCCAAAGTCATTTCTTGTACTGGCACATACCAACTGTATCCTACAGGAATGACTAAGGCAAATAAAGATGAGACTATGTTTTGAAATCCAGGGAAGCCAGTAGTGACAGACTCTGCTGAAGAGAGATTGCTTCCTTGCCTGAACTTACAGTTTTGATCTCAGCAATGTTTGGACATCATTAGAGTTTTGTCAGTGTTTCACGGCGTTAGGGCTGGGTAGGGGATAAATTTTGTGTGGAGAGCTGAAGGCTGCCTGCTCATTCCTGGTGACTATGGAATTCCTGTCAGAATTGACTGTGTCATGTGGGAGAATTGGCTGGACAAGGAGGTGTGGAAGATGGCAGAATGAGCTCAGACAGTGAAAGAACCAGGGATTTTGAGAACTCCTCCTCCTCAGAGGGAATGGTAACCTGCATGGAATTTTTAAAAATAGACCTTTTGAAAGGCAACAGTACATCCCCTGCTGCCTAAATCACTGTCCCTCCTTAGACTTTGGAAGGTGATGTTTAGAATGGCACATTTACCAATTCCTGGAGGGCAGCGCTTTGGTCAGTCATGGAGACTTCTATTGTCCAAGTCATGGTCTCCGTCAGAACTGTTTTGATTCCATTTCTCTCATTGTCTTCCAGTGTTTTTCCTTTGAATGTGTGTCCATTTGGGGGATAAAGCTAGGCATAAATATCTTACCAGATATGCCCAAAAAGTTTTATTTTCAGATAATTAAAAATCTCAACAGCTGGTAGCAGATTAAATACTGTCAAACAGTGACAATTTTTGATAGTTTCCAGTTTCAGTTTCAACCCTGCCTGTCTCTCCTGGGGCATGTAAAGTTGCTTCCAGAAAGAGAGGTGGCTGTGCAGACTGTGTACATGAATTTAGTCCAGCTGAGAAATCCCCGAATAGGTGGCGTCCTAATTGATTCTCTTTCCAAGTAGTTTAGCACTAAGTGGTCCCAGGGGGCTGTCCACCCTCTGTTTTGAAGCTGTGCCTTATAGTCAGAACTGCTGCTTCAACTTATTTTTTACTCATTCAAAGCTAACTCAAATGCCTTAATGCTGTTATCTGCCTCCTGACTTTAATGAGCGTTATCTGAATGGGTAGTAGAAAGGCCACTGTAAAACTGCATTTTAAAATTAAGTGATCAGGTCCAGGTCTAGTGGATGTCATTATGGAGTAGGTACAGCCAGCTGAGGTTGCTATGTCATCTGAGATCCATAACATAGCTTCTTAACAGCCTGGGAACAGGAAACTGCGCACATGGACTGTTTGTGAAAACTGTGTTTTCAACAGCTCATGTTCCTGTGATTGTCAAAGAATTGTTAATCATTGTGTCACAATGACACACGTTTGCTTCTGTTGAAGGTGGATGTGGGTGTGGTGCACTTCATGCCTTTGATAGAGCCCAAGATAGAGCAACCATTCAAGTTGGTGGAAAAAGTCGTTCAGAATGCATTTCAATTCCGAAGAAAATATTGTCACCGGGGGCTAGGGTAAGGATCCTACTTTCTCCTTTTTGATCTTTTGAGTCTTAAACGTACCTTAGTTCAGATATTATGATGGGCAAAACTTGCCTTCCATTTGAGGACAAGCAAAGCCACTTTAAATGTCATCCACAAGTTAGGTTGGTCCAGAGCACAACTGAAAACAGTTGCATGGCTCATGCTGACCGTGTACTAAAGAGGCTGTTTCTCGGCCTCAGACTGCTTCAGGTGACTTTGTACAAGGCATGCTCTGCACTGAGTTGCCGTATTTCTCTAACATCTTGCTGCCTTGAACCACTGGTGGTCCATGCATGATTTCCTTTTGGGTGGCTTGTACCAGTGGTGATACATACATGACTCATTGGGTGTCTTGTGCACTGGTGGTGGAAGAACTGCTAATAGGTAGAAGTGGAGCGATCATGCATGGAACAGTCCTGCAGGTACTACCAGAGGTACCTGGTGAGACATACAGATACAGCCCCATCATGAACCTGTTAAAGATACATATAAAAGCTAGGAGGGAAATATAACTTCTGAGCCTCCAAAATAACATGACCAGATTCCTACAAGCACATTTTCACTTTACCTGGAGCTCCTCTGTAGTACTCATTACTTTGCATAGGCACATGCCACCCCCATCAGGAGAACGACAGCATGGTGATTTAAAGCCTTTGTACCTCAGTGAGCCCTACAGTGACTTGTGAGAATGAAAAAAAGGTTTACTTAGGCCTGATTAGTCTAAGAAAGAAAAGCATATTTTTAAAGGACTTCCATGTAACCGACGTTTAGCTTCACAGCTACACATGAATTCTCTACATTGCTCCATTTTAATTTTCTTTATGGTCATAGGAAGTGTCCTTGTATCACATGAAGTTATTTCATGTATGGCTAGGCAGCTATATCCTGAAACTACTGCAACTATAAAACGCCTTGATTTTATACAGTGGATGTTAAATCTCAGTCTGCTCTTAACTCTTATTCAGTATGACTTATACAGCTGTTCAAGGTATGACCAAAATATACTGTGCATGCTTCAATAATTTCATTATTGTGGCTTCTTTGATTTCCAGATCAGTTCAAAACATTTACCTTTTGTAATCATTTTTATATACTTTAGAAAGAACTAGAAGCTGCCCCGTGCTAGATCTGGTGAATAAGGATGCACTGTCATATTTTACAGGCCTGCCTTTCCATGGCATTTAGCAGTAGCCTTCAGTGTATTTTTGATCATATCTCATAAGGATGCCTCTGAAAGAGAACTGCTTCAGAAAGTGGCAAAAATGGCATACATTTGTTCAAAGCAAGCGGAAATATTTTGAGAGGTATTGATGGCAACATGCCTTTACTGTAATACATTTTGCTAATCTTAGTATATTTTGATTGCCTCTTGTACATATTTATGAGGGGAAAAAAAATCCTAAAATGGTACATCATGCTTTTGGAGATCTTGGAGCTGGTCTGAGCCTCCAGGTGGCCCTAGTGTTTCCATGGGAACTTAGACTTAACTGGTGGGGCCATTTATTTCCATACACAGTCCCCTGTACAAAATGGGCCAAATATTGCAGCCCACTTTGACCTTGTTAGTGTCCTCACATCTTAGAAGCCATTGTCGGACTCTCTACCATGAAAATAAACTCAGATCTAAGTCGCCTCACTCTGATAAGTGGGGAAGTGCAGTTCCTGCTGAGAAGACCATTAGCCTGGACGTCTTCCAACCCAGTGGGCTCTGTAGAGTCTGAGACTTGAGAGAAGAAAACAGGTCTGCCTTTGCCAATTCAAGTAGTTTCACTATTTTAAAACAGTGACTTGGTTTGGTTAGATGAAATGTAAAATACATTGCATCGATTTTTAAAATGCTCGGAAATAAAATAACTTTGTATTTTCATATCAGCTATTTTGTAACTTTGCAAAACAGGGCACTCTTGTGGCAAAGTGTTCCAAAGGTACAAGCAAATTAAAGTATCAAAACTAGACATTTGTTACATTAAGAAACACAATCATCATCAAAATAATGAGCCAGCTGGGCATGGTGGCACATGCCTGTAATCATAGCACTCTAGGAAGCAGCTGAGGCAGGTGGATTGCTGTGAGTTTAAGGCCAGCCTGAATTACATAGGGAGCCCATATCTCAAAACAACAACAAAAAAACCTAACCCACCACCAACACAAAAAATGAAATGAGGCAAATCAATACATATTTCTGCAGAAATTCAGCTGAGCAGATTTTACTTTTACCTTACCTTAAAGATGCACGAATCAGTGGCTGGAAAAGGTTTTTCCTGTTGTGGACACACCCGGGAGTCAGGTTAGATCTGACTCTAGTGGGTCACTGCTGGGCCTGCACTGTAACCCATGGTTCCAGTAGCCACTTCCACTCCCTCAGGGAACAATTACCAGAAACTGTTATTTTCAAATATGAGTAGGAGACGGCATCATGAATCACAGAATTTAAGTAAAATGCTGACTTTTTTCCACTTTTCCTCAGCATGTTATTCCCCGAAGCTCAGCGCCTAGAAAGCACGGAGAAGCTGCTACAGTTAGCAGACATAGATCCCACTCTTCGGCCCACCCAGCTCTCGCTTTTGCACTTTAGGAGCCTCTGTGACATATACAGAAAAATGTGTGATGAAGACCCACAGCTTTTTGGTTACAACTTCAGAGAAGAACTGAAGCAAAGAAAGGACAAAATAGAGGAAAAAGAAGAGAGTAACGGACTCCAGATGCCGCTTTAGGGGCTCTCAGCCTGACAGGTTGAGTCCACAATGCGGAGCTGCTTCTATGTGTGCTTGTCTTTGCAGAATGTCAATAAAATACCAGTCACCAGATTGCTTATGTTCCTTTTACTGTACAGCTTGGTAGAGAAAATAAATATCAAATAAGATACAGTACAAGCTTTTAATATATATACTACATAGGTATGACATGTTTAGTATAAACAGCCTCTATTACAACCCTACAAAAATGAACTATCTGCATGTTGTACCCCTAACCCACATTAAAATAATTTAAGTATACTTTAAATAAAGCAAAAACAGCTCAAAGAAAATGCCCAGAGGATTGGGAAAAAAAAATGATCCTTTTGAACGCTATTAATCACAACTTCCCCATCCTTTTTCCACATAACTTAAAATTAGAATGCAGTTTTCAGGATTCTAAATCATTTTGATACCTGCTCAAAAGGGATATAAACTAAGTAATTTACAGATTCTGACAAGTTTAATCTAGTTTTCTGATCCACAATAAATTAAAATAACTTAAATCTTTACAACAATTTTGTGGGAAAATGCATACTGCACAAAACCAATGATGAATAGTTTTTCTGCAATCTCCACTTTACCACCAGTTTAAAAGTACGTGAGCAATGCAACCCTTATCTGGATGGAACTGTACTATGATTTTCCATGGCTCTCTGTTTCATAAAAACACTCCTCATTGACAACTGAGGTTAAGCTCTGGACACTGAATTCTCGCTCTAGAACAAAATTGAGATCAATGTTGATATTTTCAGGTTGGCTGTCAAGGGACTGGTGACGAGTCTGCGCCTTCAACAAAGCTCCTCTGTCCCTCTTGGTGCTGTTTGCTTTTCGTTTAATGGGGCAGAAGTGGGCCCGGACCAGCTTGGGCTGCTCTCCCTTTGAGCCCTCGCCCACTCCTGTACCAGGTTGCTGCTCCACCGGGTGGGCATTGGGCTCCTCGGAGATTGTCAGTCTCTGGAACTGGATTTCGATGTCCTTCGTGGGGCTGCTCCTTTTCAGAGTCTGTTGGTAGTCGTCATCTTCATCGCTTAGAATATCACTCTCTTTGATGAGATTGTCGGAAAATTCCGCCAAGCCCACGTGGGGATCACCCACATGAGGGTCACCCACTGGAGGAGCAGCGCTCCTGCAGTCCTGTCTGCTGTCGGCAGCAGAGCAGCCACTGCTCTGGGTGCCACTGCTCAGGCTGCACTCGTCTGAGTCCAGTGAGTTAGCCTTGCTGGCTTCACTGGGCCACTCGCTGCTGCAGGAGGTCCTGAGGACTTTGAGAGATCTGGACGATGCTGCAAGGAGAAAAAGCACATTTCCCTGGATGACAGACAGCTTATATGGTGCTATTTCCACCTCAGGGCATAAGATTTAACATCTTAATTCAGATTGTACTTTATCCTTTGACTTTACCATCTATGCTGACATGTCAGTAAAAACATAAATACTGCAAGCATAGCAGTTTTTTACTTAAGTTTTTTTTTTTTTTAAAGTGCTGGGAAATCCAACATTTTATTGATTACATTTCAGTAACTACATAAATGCTGAAACATTTTAACACTGAAAAGCATGATGGGTCATCACTTGCTTTTCATTTTTCACTTAGCAGGCAGCAGATGATACTGCATAGCCTACAATGGAGACAGTAGCAAAACTTATAAAAAAAAAATCTCAATGCAGTACAGGAGCTACAGAGAGAGTTGGAGGGTGCCCAGCAGTGCATGCTATGCCGCTACACACCAACATACAAAAGCATCAGAGGACAAAGGGCCCGTGGACAGCCACAACTGGGTACAGTAATCATTTCGTCAGAAATGGAGATGTGACCTAGAAACTACCACTGTTTCCTAGTAGGCAAAATGACAGCAACATTTATCTTTTATCAAGTCTTCTAAGCACCCCATGATTAGGTTAATTTTTTTTTTTTTTTTTTGCTAAAGAAGAGCTCCCTTTGTTAAGGAAGAACTTTCATTATTTTTTTACCTGATGATTATCTTAGGCACCCTTTTTACATCATAAACTGTCAAGCTAACTTGAACAGGGAAACTGAGTCACACCCAATAGTTAAGGTCAGAGGTATGCTGAAAATAGAGAAGGGACAGGTCTAGGGGTAATGGGGCTGATTCAGACTGGACACTAAACACAGGGACATAGGAAGACAACTACCAAAGAAGCAGGAAATGTTTTAAAGTTTATTTTTAAAAAAATACTTGTCACTTGGTTCAGGGGGCAAATCTAAAATGAGCCTATAATGATTATGTAATAAATGCAGAACACACCACAGAAAAAAAATCAAGACAAACACGGAAACCTTGTGGGTGACCTTGTGGGTACAACCGCTCTTTGCTGGGTGTTGAAGCCATGGGGGACGGGACGGGACCCCCACACCCACTGTTGGAGTCAGGACACCCTGCACAGCATCCCTTAGAGACAAGCAGTTCACTGGTGTCACCAACATAGCAAACAGCGAAATGTTCCTAAGGAAATGTCACTTTTGAACTAAAATCTAAGCCCTCCCTCTCCTTCCCCACTCCAAACACACCTGCAGAAGAAACAAAGGTGAAGCTGCCAGGAGCGGAAAGGCGTTTACACCATGCAGGTGACGCGTACCGCTAAAGCAACCGATTTCAGCAATTAAGTTTTATTTGAAATCATACAGAAGGAACTGGACATCTTTATAGTCCCAGCACTTCATTTATTTAAACAGAACTACTCTAAAGTCTAGGGAAATTTTTCCAAGGAACAAATTGAGGTTAATCACTAATAAAATCTAGATTTCATTCTTTATACTAAACTATGTAATCTGATAAGATTACACCATATGTCTATGCATAACTTTTTGTCTGTTTCCCTTGCTGCTCAGTTAAAAGCAGAAAAATGTTCTCTCGTAAGAACTCTGCTAGAATTTCTAGCCAGCTTTCAGAGAGTTAATAATATACACATTTACTCATTTGTGTCTGTGTTTAACTTTGTTCTCTTGGATTGAAGTGGGAAAGGGCACTCTTAATTCTAGTGTTTCTCTAGACAGCAGCATGCTAGTTTTGATAGCCATATCTTATTTCAACAATAGAGAAAAAAATTATAGATAAATCTGAAGAGGTCAAAGTATGCCAAAAAGAAGTTATGTACTTATGACTAAAATCAAGAACAAAGATAAAACAGCTAATACAGAAAAAAATTTTTGAAACTGAAGCTGAAATTTAGCAACAGGCCGAAAGTTTAAGAACAGCATAGTCTGAAATGAACAGCATACTTGCTGACTTATTAAGAACCAGTATATGAGGTTTCTTAATCTTAATTCATTAAGTACAGTGGCACCGAAGTTATCATAATTGGTTTCTGAAGGCACAATGAGTCCAACCACTGTTCCAGCTGAAATCACCAGGCAGTCAGTGCTCACAAGTTCTAGCTTATGGGTGGACTACCAAACAAGTAGTTCACGTCAAAATGGGTCAAGTACCAAATTCAATGAGTTTCAAAACAGTTGAGTACCCAGGAATGACTGTATTGACCTAGATGCCTCGTGCTGTTCAGAACCCTGGGAATACTGCGATAAGTAAGATACAGTCCCTGACTCATGTACATCTTTGTTGGGAGAAACAAACAAGATACCAAGTCTAGATGGTGTCAGCTTGTGAGAGAAAAGGGATTAGGCAATGGAGGTGGATACACTTTTATGAATGGGAGCAAAAAGACGAATGTTGAGGTCTCTTACAGTTACCCTGTGATGATTTACAAGAAATAACTTACAGCCGTGTCATAAGAGCATCTGTCCTTTAAGAAACCTCATAATTCCTTGAATAACATAGAGCTAGCAAAATTCTCACCTAATTTGGCTGAAACAGGAACTCGGTTCTTGAGAGGCACCAGACGATCCCTACAGGTCTTCTCCAGTGGTAATTCACACTTTATGTGACGCCTGAAGTTTTCCCTCAGAATAGAACGAATCACCTTCACAATGCTGGTTTTGCTCTCACTGTCACTAGTGGGAGAAAGGAAAGAACCATAGTATCCTAGCAGATGCTCCTGGGCCATTGCCTTTCTCCGTGCTTCACATTTTCTAGGCTAGATCAATAGCAATTTCCCAATCTCTGTGTACTTGGGTTTCATCACTTATAGAAGCAAGCAACAACTCCAAAATTTGGATATGTATATATAATCCATGTATTCTGAGATACCATTTGAGGGAAAGGTATTACCCTGATGTCATTAAAATTCAGAGGGGCACTAAAACTCCCTTTTTAAAAAGAACATGGTCCTTGTTTTTACTGGTTTTAATTTTTGGATCTCAGAATACCTGCAACATAACTGAAAAATGGTTTCTGGCCGTCCTTCTATTTCCGACTTTATGTGGATCAGCTCCCATACGGAATTATTTTCTGTCCCTGCATAAAAGGAAATGGAAACAAGAGTTTACAACTTGGCCAAAATGCATGGTTAAGAACACTTGTTAAGTTTAAAACTGAAGATCTAAAACATGGTAATTCTGGAAACATCTCTGAATATTTTCCAGAGTCAAAGATCTCTTCCCCCTTTTAAAATAATATTTGCTATACTCCTTAAAGAATTTTCTATTATGTTTAAATATGTAAAAAATTAAATTTTTAAGCTTTGTCTAACAAATTTAAGGAATCAAAATCAGAACAATGCTGAAAATTTGATTACAAAAATGAGGAAGTAATGGAGAATAACTGGGAGACATTCTGTTTCTCCCAAAAGTTTAAGAAACATCAAAACAACCTCTCTTGTCCTCATTTTCCTTACCTATAAAAAAAGACTCCAAAAATTATCCCCAACAGTCTTTTTCTACTTTTTTTTTTATTCCACAATTTAAGTAAGTCTTTAAGATACTTTCACTGTGCAAGTTACCTGCTGTGTTCCCCAGTCTGACTTGAAGTGCGGATATAGGGATCAGCCAGCGGAATTTAAATGGGTCCAAGTCAGCAGAGCTGTGTGCAGGCCGGGAATTGGAGGGCTGTAAAATAAAAAGCCCAGAGAAAAAGTTAGGGAAGCTCATGTGCACAGCAAATAGAAGCTTGTGTGCAGGGTTCCATGCAGCAGCGTGGGCAGCCAGGGCACAGTAAATCAGGTGTGTACCCAGTTTTTAAAGACCTCCCAGGATCAAGGGGAAAACCAGGGTCATGGTTCAGGGCGCCCAAATTCCCAGGTATCTAGGCAACAGTGTCCATGTTTTCCCAGTACTGCTCATGGCTGGTATCCAGAGCTATGCTACAATTTGGGGATTTTTTGTTTGGGGTTGGTTGGTTGGTTGGTTGGTTGGTTTTGAGTCAAGGTAAAAGGTATTTGAAAACAAACCAAAGTTACCAGATTCCTGTAAGTATGGAAATACATGGGTATTTTCAGGACTGTTAATTAGTTTTCTGTGTAGGCCCTGACATGAGTGTCTACATCTCTTTAAAAGCAGGTATCTTCCCTCTGTGGAGAGACTCAGAGATGTTCTGGGGACTCGATTTGGCTGTCCTCTCAGAATAACAACAGTCAGTGCGACTGGTGCATAGCAGCCTTTGCAGTCCAGTGTTACAGGAAGAGATAGCCATGAAAAGCTAGCTTTAATTAATAGTAATTCATCTTACCAGCTTCTTTTTCAGTTTGCAGTTTTCTTTATAAACCAATATGACAGCTCTCTTAAAAACTAAAGAAAGGAAAAGGGAAAAATAGCTCATTTTATACAAGCTCTTCTCGTGTTAAAATAGAACAGAATGTCTTCTTGAACAAAGCTCTTCAAATTTATAAATCTCCCAATCTCTAAGATCCCATTATGACAAAAAATTGGGTGAATAAACAGTACTTTCTTCTTCTGTTTTGTTTCTTCTGTCTTCTATGAAGAAGTTCTGCTTATTTACTAACTGTTCTCTACAGAAGCTCCCAGCATTTCTTCTTTGTTCTACTGAAAGCTGAGATTATGGTGTTCATCTCAATGACCATACATAATCTATATAATACCTACTACCCCAACTCCCAGTGGAATTAAGAGATTTTTGAAATTTAGCAAACCAATAATATACCACATTTCCAAATAGGCCCTGAGATCTGCTGCTGTAACTCTTGGGCTGAGCCATGCAGCACAAGGAAGAACCAGATGATAAGTACGCAAAGCCATGGTATTGTAACTAGCTGGAGGCTGGTTCTGTTACGTCTCTGGCCATCACAGCAACTCTTCTAATACCTGGACATCCAGCAGGTCTGGGAAACCTCATTACTGCCAGTCCCATGTCAGTTACATTTTTCTGCATTGAATACTAACCAAATACTGTGAGTTCAAGGTCCTTTCTGGCTTTTCCTAGAGACAGAAATGGATTCAACCAGGAGACTGTAGAGTGCATCAGAAGTTCTCCCATGGAAAGTTCTGTTACCTGGAGTGTAAAAACAGGAAGTAAAGATGTGGAAACTCTGAGACAGATGATTCTGTGTTACATAATGAATGATAAATAAAGGTGAAGGCATTTTCAGTGTACACTTACGTACATGTATGTAAGATAACATATATGTTGGCATAACATGTATGTTGCCACATCAGCAACTCCATTCCCTTAACATTCTAGCACGGGGTTAGTGTTCCATCCAAAGGCCTGCGTTAACTAACATATTCCACAGATTTAGTATGTTCACCATCTCTGATTCCCAAAATATATTGGGCCTGCTAATAAAAAACTACCAACACTGACACTGATCTTAAAAAAAATTAAACTCTGGCTCATTTTCTTGTCATTGGCTACTTAAACTGTATTGCTTCTTGTGTAGTAGCTTTAGAATCACAAGGCTCTAAATTTAGCAATCAGACCATAAAAGAATGTACTTATATAGAGAAAATGTCATCTTCTACTTGGACTGTTTTAAGTAAGCAGGTAACTATGAATAGTTGATGCTTTAAAAGGAAAAAAAAAAAAATGAAAAAGAGAGAAGCCCTGTATTCTCTCCATATGCTGCCCTCTCTTATCCATCTTCTCTTCTCTCCCAGGCCAAGCCACCCTCTGTTCCAGCCCCTGGGACGGGCAGACCTCATGCCCACAGGAAAGGAGGGAAGAGCAGGGATTGGAGCTCAGTGGTGTTTGTCTTCTTTGCATAATGCTAACATAAGGCCACATTTTTAGATCAATGTAAGGTATTTTATATTTCTTTCTAACCCATATAGTTTATTACATACATTAAAGTTAAAAACAAAATTGTGGGGTCCTAATAGGTCCCCTAAGCCCCGCCCACCCACAAGGCCCCTGAGGCTAGAGCTCCACAGACCTCCTTCTCTGTGCCACTCTGCTCCGCCACCAACTGGTCAAACACAGTCCCGTAATCCTCATAGATCTTCTGCATCTCATTGATGTGGCTCGCTACTTTTTCCATCGCCTTTAATGCTTCTGCAAAATAAGAAATCATCTTCATTGTAGTATTTAAATCTATCCAATAGCAATAATGGAAGAGCATGTTATAGTTTCTCTCTAGATTTCTCCCTACAGCCTCATGAGATCATAGATGGGACCTTTGGAAGATGATGCATTATGCAGGCATATTATAACTGGCTTGCTGTTAGGAGGTGCGGCCTGGTTAGAAGAGGCAGGCCATGGGCATGACCTGAAACAATGTATCTCCCTTGCTGGCTTCCCGCTTGACTCTCTTTGCTTTCTGGACACTACAAAGTGAAGCCTCTTTTCCTCCGCTAAGCCTCCCTGCCATGCCTTTCTCCCTTGGAGCCAGCTGACCCTGGTTACCACTGCCTCTCTTCCTTTAGTTTGTGGGTGTCAGATACTGCATCTTAAAAAGAACAAAGTGACTAAGATAGAATTTAAGATTCAAAGCAGGATTCAAGAGCTGTTCTCACCACCAGCAGCATAATTCATGCAAAGCTCACCACAGCCCTATTGTAAGTTTGTCATCACAAAGAACAAATCATCTTCCACCTCAAATTCTCCTTGAAATGAAGTAGAATTCAAGAGCAGGTATTTGAGGCTGCCTGACTGGGGCAGAGTTCTAGCTCTGCCCATAGTTTCTCTCTAGATAGAACTCTGGCAAAGTGTTCTTCCCAGAAGGGTTTCCTCTTCTAGAAAATGAAACTGGTCAAGTCATTAAGTCATTGTGCAGATTTAAAAAAAGTCACATAAATATCCTGACACTTGCTAAGTAGAAGTACTGAGTAAGTGGTAGCTACTTTACAGTATAATCTGACCTGTATAAATAAATGTGTCTCCCTAGGAATTTTATGAATTAACTGGACCTCCCAGTTCCTCTAGTCCAAATGAAGCATCTCTCTAATGGATACTCTTCTCTCAAACTGTGGGGCTCTATGTTTTTCTCAAATTGTACTATAGGCCAGTAATTTTAAAGATTTCAGATGATAGCACAGCAGTGTGTCTGACATAAGCATAAACTGAGCTCTTAGTTTCACAGCCGAGTTCTCAGAAAAATCCGCAAGATGGCGCCTTGTGCAGCACCTGTGGCCAGCAGCACTAGGCAGGAAACACCACTGCTACACAGGCGATGAGAAAGAGGTCTGATTCTCAATTCTGATGGCACTATTCACTAGCCAAGTGACATGTACTAATTTACTCAACTCATTGAGCTTAAATTAACTCTTAAAAGTTTGAGTCATCGTTCCAGAAGAGCTTGGGGTCCTCCACTGAAATCATTTTTACCAAAGGTTACTGTACACTGTAATGTGATGGCTGTATCAAGGTGTTTTTCATTTATGAAAGTTGTAACCAAGAAGAGTGATCACAGTAGTGACAAATGATTCACAACACACTTCCACATGGGAGAACAGGTGAGCCTGTAGGCACGGAGGGCAAGCAGCTCCACTCACAGCCTTACCGGTCAGGTGGTAGTGCTCCTCACTCTCGTGGTCCGTCAGGGACACAAGCTCCTTCAGCAGCAGGGGGTACTTGAGCACTCTCTGCACCGGTTTGATAAGGTAAGACTCCAGGGTGGAGGAATGCTGCTTAGTGGGATTCCGGGCATCCAGAAAAGTCTTAAATGCCTTATCAGTTTTAGCTGCAAGCAATGAGTAAAAGACCCTTAGAAGAGCACAACTAGATATGTTACACAGTGAGTCATTTATCTTAACAGAGTTGTTTTTAAACACCTGTTTCATGGTCCTTCTAGTGCCATCCCATAATCACCATCCAAGCACATCAGGGCATCAAGCAACAAGCTATCAACGTGGGGTTCAGCATCTAGGTCTAATAAGTCCTGGGCATGAAGGAAGCTTTTCAGGATACCAGAGGAGTACAGGCCATGAGCCAGAGAGAGCACCCTGTGTGTATGTGTCTGTGTGTGTGTGTGTATGTGTATTTATATACACACATATATTGCATCTTCATGAGAGATACTGTTATAGACAGCAAAACAGTGAGTTTAAATCAATTCTTAAAGCCACAAACTAATGCAGACCTATATCAAAGCCTACAAAGAGAGTTACACAGCCAGAGTTTCTCCCACTGGCCTCAATAGCACTGTTTGTGCTTATCCTGTATTGAAAATAACTGAGTATCATTTTTTCCTTTGCAATGAGTTAGATCATTCCCAAAGCTTTCTCCACAGCTCCAAGCAGCGTACATTCTCACATCAGGGCTGCAGTTCCTTTCTTTTAGATAGGACATTAAAAACCATGCTGGCATTGAGAGCTGCCTTTCTATTCACTACCTGAGTGTCGTGAAGGATACACCGAGAACCCAGGTACATTTAGTATGAATGCCAACGAACACACCAGCTGCCTCTTTGTTTTTTGTTTTGTTTTTTAAATTTTATTGTAAAGAGAAAAAAGTGATAGAGAAATTTTAAAAAGATAGTAAAACAGTAGTTAATATATTGCATATTATTATCTTCAAAGTAGTTGTTCAGATTACAAAATATAGGCATGAAAAAGTGATCAATGTAAGTACAAACCATTCTTTTCTATGAACTAATAGAAATTACTAGTTTAATTATCTTAGCTATCGTTTGTATACATATATATTTTTTCCCCTTTTCTCCTTTCCTCCTCATTCCAGTTGTTCTTTCCTTTTGAGCAGTCTCTTCCCCTTTCACAATATCTACTGTACATCTGGATCTTATTTACTCTTAGTTTCTTACACTAGGGAGACAATGTGATGTTTACACATGTGAGTCTGGTTTATTTCACTTATGAGTACAGTCTCAAGTTGCATCCATCTACCTATGAAAGCCTCAAGTTTATGCTTCTTTATAGCCATGTAGTACACCACTGGATAAAAATACTACATCTTTTTTTATCTATTCCTCAATCGATGGGCATTTAGGTTCTTTCCAAGATTTAGCTGTTACAAATTGTGCTGCTATAAACATGGTGCACATATATCACTGGGGTGTGTTTTTAATTCTTCTGGAGAGATGCCCAGAAGGGGAATACCAGCTGCCACTTTGCAGTCAATCAGTTGACACTATTGACCAGATGTTTGGAGTATAATCAATCTGAATGAAGATATTTGAAACTCTGTGTCAGAAGCAAAATCTACAGCATCTAGGACAGTGACAGCGAACCTTTTACAGCCCTCAGTGATAACAAATAGTCTGCTTCAACATGTGTGCCATGGGTTTGCCATCACTGATCTAGGAGACACAGTACCATCTACCTATGAAAGCCTCAAGTTTATGCTTCTTTATAGCCATGTAGTACACCACTGGATAAAAATACTACATCTTTTTTTATCTATTCCTCAATCGATGGGCATTTAGGTTCTTTCCAAGATTTAGCTGTTACAAATTGTGCTGCTATAAACATGGTGCACATATATCACTGGGGTGTGTTTTTAATTCTTCTGGAGAGATGCCCAGAAGGGGAATACCAGCTGCCACTTTGCAGTCAATCAGTTGACACTATTGACCAGATGTTTGGAGTATAATCAATCTGAATGAAGATATTTGAAACTCTGTGTCAGAAGCAAAATCTACAGCATCTAGGACAGTGACAGCGAACCTTTTACAGCCCTCAGTGATAACAAATAGTCTGCTTCAACATGTGTGCCATGGGTTTGCCATCACTGATCTAGGAGACACAGTACCATTTTGAAACATGCCTTCCTAGCCAAGTCAACAGTGAAGTGATCCTTCATCTTTATGACAAAGGAGGAATAAAGTATTGCATGCTCTTAGACTATCCAGAAGATGTTTATGGGACAAAATGCCAGTGGAGTTAGACCTCTGTTTAAAGTGATTCGAAAAGATGGATTTGGTCTGGGTCTTATTAATTACAAGTACCACACAACTCCATTGTTTAAAACTGGAGGCTTCTGGGATGCTGTGAAAGTTTGCCTTTAAACCAAATGGCAAAATCACATCAGTGAAAATGGTTAAACAGCTGGGTGTTAGAACAAGCCTCTCCACACCCTCCAGGACAGTCCAAAGAACCACTGAAAAGTGACCTCTGAAGAAACAAATCCACCAAAGAGACTTCAATTTTAGCTAACACATTTTGTAAGTTTGATGGCGGTAGTTTGTAGTAGCTTCTGGGATTTAAGAACAGAGTTGACAAAACAACAAAAAATTATATTATCCATTTCCCTTCTGCACACAAGGCTTATCATTGTGAGGTTTGAGAGAACAAGATGCAGTAAGAAAAAGTTCGAATGCAATTTGCCAACAAAGTGATGCATGACCAAGCAGCATCTCTGCTTCGAAGGGCATTTGTTCACTGCTACCAAAAAACTGAAATAAACTGAAAATATTCCCTTTAACTTGACTCTTCCAAGGTCATAAAATGGAGCATAATCCACTAAAATTGCACTTACCTATATTGCTAAATATGAATTGCCCTTTATTAACAGTTAACAACACAAAAAGCACGACTATAAAGATACAAGCAACTCACCTCGTTCAAGAACCTTCTGTACTTTAATATGATTAGCACAGAATCCACTGTAGAGTTTAAAATGGTCTGCATAATAGAGGAATGAGCCCCCAAGAGAAAACAGCAACTTCTAGAAGGGGAATAGAAAAAGTCAAATCAGACATGGTTTACTCAGTATGTGTGTGCCTGGATGCCACAGCACTAACAGGAGTCACAAGGGAAGTAAGCACAGGACCACTCCATTCACTCTGCAGATGGAGATCAATCCATGCATCCCTCCACTGGGATCTTTAGCTTGATGGAAAGATTCCTGGCAACAGAGTCTTCTGACCCAATGTGCAGCCACAGGGCAAAAAAGTACTAAGATACATACATCTGGCAAGGTGAGCTACAAACATCCCAAGAGTGAACTAACAACCAGTTCCCAATTAGCTGGGATGAATGATGCTCACCATATACTTCCTGGCCACCTTTCTACTGCTTTTAGCCTTGCCGCTGGAGGGACTTCTGGTCAACCACAGCACTAACTCAGCCACCTCATGGAACCCTCACTCAGGGCATCTGAATCCTATTCTCTGCCCTGGTCTACAGGTGTCGGGTAGGTACTATTACTTCAGAAGTTATCGCTCTATACATCCTTCCTCAAAAGTGAACACAGAGCACATGTCTGGTCAACAACTTCACAGAGGTGACTTCACAGAGGTGAAGCTGGCCAGGCTTCTGACTACCAGAAGCAATGACTCTAAGAGAAACAAATGTAGCCTTCTTCTACCACCTCTGGGGGGAAAAATGCAAACACTAAATTTACCTTGACAAGGTACAACAGGTTCTATTTTAAGGGAAAAACTTGTGCCACAAATACCTCTTTTTGCTTTAAGTCCAAGTATAAAAATACTTACTCTAAACTGTGAGGGAGTTTCCAGTATATTAAAGTCAGAGGAAGCCGAGATTCCATCCTCGAGAGTCTCCAGAAACACCTTCTGAAACTCCAGCATCTCTGGCAAGCTTCCAAAAAGTGACTCCATCTAGGTGAAGGTCAGGTTTGAAAAGAAAGGTTAGCCAGGACAAGCCAGAGGCTTGCTACTTCTCAGGCCCACATGTCCACCATGAGGAAGCATTCCCAGGAAAGAGCGAGAGGCAAACCTTTACAGAACAGCACATAAATTATATGGAGAGAGACTGCAGTTCCACATGCTATGATTCCTTTTTTTGGCCTAAAATAACTTTTTTAAGTGGATATAAAATCTTTGGAATTCAAATCAGGAAAAATAGAAGTCAGCCTAAAGATCTAATCCCTTCGATTTAGCATTAAAAATGTAATTGAGAAGTATGTTGGCCATACCTCCTCCCCACATAAAAAAAGTACGACCATCTTTCTGCTTGTTATACTGCCACTGAGCTCATGCAGAAGAAGCCCTATACATCACTTAGGAAGTGCTCACATATGGGACTTTCTGAAGACCCTGAGTGTCAGATGTTCTTTTGGAATTGGTATACATAGTTCCCAAGGAGGTGTGCTAAAAAGTGAACAGATTCTGGCCTGAACAAAGGTTCAATGAATAGAGAAAAAGTGAATATTTACCTCATCTTGGGTAAGGAAAGTCTCATTCTGAAGTGGTTCCAGGTATAATTCAAAGAGACAGCTCAGATCCTGAAAGAGGAGGAGACTCTTACACTTAAATCTCTCAGATACCCAAGAGATTCCAGTACCCCTCACGGCAGCTCCAAATACTCCCATTAGGAATGATGGAGTTTATCTTGCTGAAATTCTTGTTCCTAAAAGTGGTTATTTTGCCCACCTAATGCAAAGGTTAAACCTCTCATTACCACCATCACCTGAATTCCACATAGTTCCTTACAGCTTCATCACATCTCTGCTTACTGTCTTGTTGACAGGACAGCCTGGCACTAGACCCCTGGAACCCTCCTTTCTCTGCAAGGGAAGTGAAGTGTACCTAAGAACAATACTGCTGCCAGGTGTGACCACAGCCACTGGACATCTGGTTTTCAGCACAGTAACACTAGCATGGAGCTGTGAGACTAGGGAGCTCTTCAACTTTGGGCTTCATCCACCAGCAGAATTCAAACTCTGATGTTCCAATGCAAGCAAAAGCTTCCAAAGATTAGCAGTCTTGTTTAAAATCTAAGCCATAACTAGGACTCTAGTTTAGTGGGTGCTAGCAGCACAAAATAGTGGAAACTCGCTGTATTTGCAAAACCCATCAAGGTTTTCTTCTAACATTAATTTGAAGCCAAGACCAATTTAATTTAGTGATAGAAATAGAAAAATAGAGAAGCTTTCTCTTTCATGTTTTACTTATTATGAAGAAAAAACTCTGAATCCTAAAATTCTAGACATGGTCGGCTAGAAAGTCAACTACACTGACTCCCCCATCTTACAAGGGGCAAATCTAAGACCTAGAGAGCTTTGCAAAGCCCAGAGCACTCCCAGAACCTTCACAGTGCCGGTTCTGCAAGGAAAGCCAGGCCTGTGATGCCGATGGGCTTTCACAATAGAAAGTTCCCTCCCTCATCACATTCCACAGCAGCCTGAGACGTGAGAAGTCACTCAATGCAATCTTGGGATACACATAGATGTTGCAAATTTCAAGGAGCATGCAGAGATTCAGGTTAAGGACTGACAAGGGAAATTCTGTGTTAAATATCAACAACAGAAATTGAAAAACATCGGGGAGCATGTGAGTCACAGTGGGCACCCCGGGTGGTTATTTGTACAGACAGTGGCAGTGCAGCAGTCACTCCCATCCAGGCCAGGCCAGCAGCTCAGAGGACTTACTGCACAGCAAGAGCAGGTCACGCTGAGCTGGGGGTGACAGAGCCATGAAGCCAGGGGCCCTATGAAGACAAAGCGCAGGTTTCTTGCAGAGCGATATGACTTGGTTCCCTTTGTCTACTTGTCCACAATGTTCACCTCAAAATGCTACCAGCATCACACTGAATGACCTTCCTAGAGCAGTGTGGCTTCACAGGAAAGCAGAAAACCATGAAGACAAAAAGGGACTCAGGTCCTGCTTTCAACTCTGCTCCTCACTCTGCATGCAAGGGCTCCACGACTTTTCTCAAAACATCAAAGGTCTCTGAAGTCTCAAAAACATCTACAGGTCACAGACCTACTTGGCCAAAGGTCACTGTGGATACAGTCTGAACTCCCTGGTGGCCACTTCATCTCTCTACACTGGATGTGAGAGAAGACACAATGGAAACTGAAGCTCAACTCTCATCTTTCCCACTGGCTTTTCTTTCTCCCCTAAGGACCAAACGCAGGAGCTTTGGCTAAGACTTTTGGGAAAGTCCGGGGAAACAGCAGTGATGTGATTAAAAGGAAAGTCCACATATGTCTTGTAGAGAAAGAAGCTACTAGCCACACGTGTGCCAACCTAAACTCCTAGACTGAGTGCCTCACTCCTGGAAGAACATGGGGGCACAATGGAAAAGGGGCCCAACATGCACCCAAAGGTACGATGCCAGGCCTCTATCTCAGCTTTGTGCCATGCTTTTGTGGTGTTTGAACAAATACAAAGTAGCTGCAAAGCTGCGGCAAGAACTTAAAGAACTCTGCTTTTCCAGGCTCCTCTGTCTGTAAAATGATTGTCAGGCCACTAACTGGAGGCTGATGAGATAAATGAATTTTCTGAGAACTCAAGACACTCAGCAACTGTGCCCGAACCATGTTGTGGGAATACTCTCACGTGAAGACCAGGCTGCATGAGGGCCTCCGTTCTACACAGGGGCCCCCACGGGCAGGGATGGCCTGCGGTCTGTCTGGGCTCTGGGGCCGGTATCCTGCCACTTGTGTATAGATTATTCCCTGATTCCTTGTCACCTAAAGTGATCTCCAGTCTCTGTTGCTAAAGCAATACAGACTTCCTCCCACAGATTGCAAATGACAAACTAGAACATCTGTTTCCATAGTGAGAGCTACCTTGGTAACAAAATGAACCAAGAAACTAAATTTTTTCCGGGTTCTCTCCCTCTTCCACTCTTGCATCACTCTGTCCCCTAATGCTTCTAGGAGCAGGTGCCTACTCCATGATTGGCAGGTGTCTGGGGCAGAGGTGATCTGAGTCCTCTGCTAGCACACACCTTCCCATCAGCAAAGAGCAGTGAATGCCCACCACTTCCTGTTACCTTCACATAAGACTTCTCGGTGTCCACAAGTTCCTGGATGACTTTCCGGAGGCGGTCGGCATCGGACAGGTGGCGGGCCAGAGGCCTCGGAGGTGGGTCCTGACTTTCCCTGGGTCCTTCCATACTCTTGGTCTGTGTGTCGTTAAAGCCCCTACACAGTGTAGCGATCTGTTCTGCACTCTGAGAGATGACAAGAGGTGGAAAGTAATAATCAGGATACTCACCGTTGACATCAGCAGCCCACCAAAGACATAAAGTACCTGTGCCAGGCACTCACTGCAGAATCTCAGAGACTTGGGACAAGGGAAGTAGTTTCATTCACCTCAGACCACTCTGGCTATCATTTTGAGTTCAGTGAGGAAAATGGTGTCTACACAATGTTAGAATTTTCACATACAACGCATCCCGGTGTTAAAACCGGTGTCACAACCCGGTTGTGATTCGCTTCTTCAGTACTAGAATCCAAGAGGCAAGGGCTGGCTAACAGTCTGCTCTGAAGCTGAGGTTGCTCTGAAATCAAGGCATGAAAAATTCTGAGAGCACACACAGGAAACAGCTTTACTGAGTTCACCCTGCCCCTCACCATTGGGTCTAGGCAGCTTTCTACCTCCCAGACAGACAGCCTGGGAGACTCAGGAATGGAGAGGCAACACAGCAACCTTGGGTAGCTTGCCCAGGGAGCCTGGAGTGCTGCCCTCAGATCTGATGACTGAGCTATGCCAGCTTGTGCCAAGTACAGTTATGAGTGGAAAAGTCTTGAGCTGGTACATGTTCTGAGAGTGGAGTAAAGACCAAAACAGAAAAGAAACAAAGTCCCTACCCTAAAGGGGTACAAAGCGTTATGGAAGTACAGGCAGCTAGCACAGGTTGCTGGGTGAAGTGTGAGGAGGAGCATGACCAGCCCTGTGGCAAACCTTCACAGAAGAGGGGTTAAGCTGGGTCTCAGCAGTAACCATGGCAAGGTTAGGGAGCATGGGCAAAGACAGCATTCATTCCAGGACATCGATCACAGATTGGGGACAAGGAAGAACAGGAGTATTTGGAGATGCGGGCGCTAAAACTTTTAATGCAAGTTCCTAATTAGATCTGAGCACTCTGTGATTGCTTCCTCAAAGAGATTCACTCATGTGCTCCTGCCATGGACTGGCAGCTTAAAATCTCAAACACATCTCCTCCTGTGCACTTGCATAGTTCTCAGAGTACTCCACAATATATTCCAGGAGCATCTTCTCTTTCCATCCTGCCCACATCCATCTCCACCCCATCTCACCACAGTCTGGTCTGGAAGCTTGTGGAGGGCAAGAGCTGTGTCTTTCTTCGACATCACCTCACACACCCAGCTCGGTGTTCACCTCTCCTACACTATTCAGCCTTGAGCACCATGGTCCCTATGTGAGTGACCAATACCTGCAATATGTGGCTGCTCTGGGTCTCAACTAAAATGATCCTTTCTTCATTTTAGATGCCTTCGTGCCCGACTTTGAGCCATCATTCTATGGGACAAAAAGCTAAACTTAGATCTCTTAACACTAACTTACTTCACTTTTTTTGCTTGGTTATTTCAGAAGAGAGACAACTGACATAAGTATGCTGGTCCACTGTAGTGACCTGACACATGCTTTCTATGTAAGTTGTCACATGACACAGTGAATGCCACAAGGCAACCCAGGATACCCTGGCCCACCTTCCCTTTCTGTTCTACCTCTACTCCAGCAGTGTCCTAATCTGCTGAAAATACATCCTCAGTATTAAAACTTAACACTCACCTTCCGCCTTTCAATCAGTTTGGTGAATGTCAATTGTGGGCTTATTCTGTCTCCAAATTATGGATAGTTCGTATCCAGAAACAGAAGACTCACCAAGGCTGGAAACACCTAAGTGCAGTCTAAGGTAGTCTGAAAACCTCCACAAGCTTGAATGGAAGAAATAGAAAATGTAAGACAATGACACAGAAGTGTCACTTTGGAACGGGCTGCCAAGGAAGGCTTCAGCAAAGCAGTGGCTTGTAATGTGGTCCTGCCAGGAGCCTGGTCCAAAGGAGAACCACAGAACACCCCACACGAGCAGTGGGAAACTAGACTGAGTAACACACAGAGCCTGGCTTCTCTCTCATCTTGTGAAGAATCCTGGTACACAAGTTAGATCAAGCAGGTAGCATGTGCTAAGCCTTCAACTAGACATGCAGGTACATAACATATAATTTGTTTTCAAGACAGTTCAAAAGCATGAATAAGTACTAATGATTCTCCTGGGAATACATATTTTCCATCTATTTTCCTTTTTTAAATGCAAACACATGCATATTTCTGGCAATGCCTGTCAGAAGACGTGTATTTCAGGGTAAGATTTCCAAGTAGAAGGGGGATGAAGCAGATACAGATTTTAAGGCACCAATCAGAATGCAACCTGATTTTTCAAATATCTCATGTTTGTAACAACCAAATTGTATGATTCGTCTTTTAAAGACTCTCCAAAGCTGTTCAGTGATATGAGATCCTGGTGGTACACAGAACAGTGCAGCCAAAAGGAGCCATCCCTTCCCTTCCAGGACATGAGCCTCTGAGGAACACAAAGAAATCTAACAGAAACAATCTGAATCCTGCCTCTGCTCATCAATGGACCTCAACACTGACTTCATGTTAGCTTTGCTGGGGGCTTTCAAAAGCACCATGCTGAGATCAAGTGAAACAGAAAACCTGGGACCCCATCATGAGTGTTTTTTAAAAAGTTCCCCAAGTGATGCCAATGTGTGACCTCCAGAGAACAGCTGGTCTGCCCCTCAGGACATGCTTATCTGCTTGGATTTCCCGGAAGTGTGTTGACTCCAGGCAGATCACGGTGTCCCACACATCTGTATTGAGAGGCAGTCACATAAAAGATGTGGAATGAGGGCAGGAGATGGGAGGCAGGAGGCAGAATCACACCCTGACCCTGGTGTTCTGGCTTAGTCTCTACTAAATTCTAAAAAGCCCATAACAAAAGTACTCAAACTCCAAAACTCCCTTTTGAAATCTCCGTCCTGGGATTTGCACCGCAAGCTCAGACAATTTAATTTTATAATCCTGAAAACGAAGTTTCCAGAGCTGTGGAAGTTATATTAAGCTTGCATACACTGTATAAAAGAAGATCTGACGAAATGCACCATAAGTTAAATGGCATCTGGTGAGCTTACAGCTTTGCCTTGCTGGGATGTCAAAAATCACACCTAACGATGCAGTGTTAAAATAACGAGATTTTAAAAATAAAGTATCTTGCCATTTTAGAAAACGAAAATTCATTTAAAAACATGTCTGGTTCTGAAATTGTTCAATATTAAATCTACTTTTCAATGTACTGCACTTAAGTGCTAAAGTGCTGCAAAGACACCTTTAGCACATTTAATAGTTGGGCTGTGAACATTACCTTGAATCAAAAGGAGGCCGGGCTCCTAACAGATGACAGCAGACATGAGTTCTGCAAAACTGTGGGTGAAAGCAGCACCTGAGAGATTATACTGCAGTTCCTCTATGCTCAGTGATGGTATAAACACGAAACCCCTAAAGGTAAATTCAATGTGGAATTCATAAGCCTTTCTAGGAATAGCGATGACTCCAGAGTCCTCACTGTCCTTAATCATGAAAAGGCAGCAGCGGTGACATGTCAAACTGCTACTGGTTCTAGGAGTAAAGAAGCTTACTATGTGTTGAGGGATTACTCTTCACCAAACATATGTGAGGCACTGTTACAGAACTCACGGGCATTCTGTCTTTACTATGACCCACCAAGGCTTTCCAGTGTGGGGCAGGGAGGCTTGGGCTGGACCTTCATGGGTGAGACCCGCTCCTCTCTACCTGTCCACACAGCACTGGCTGCTCCTCGGTATCCAGCAGAGCACAGGCAAAGATGGCTTGCTTTGCCTGCCGCCTCTGTCCACCAAGCCTCCACGGCGCCAGTGTTCTAGGGGTGCAGTCATCCCTGCTCAGAGCGCGGTGGAGAAGTGGATCGGGCCAGTCCTGCCCCGCAGTGTGAGGATCCTGCAGAGGTGAAACACTGGCCCACTGAAGTGTTTCTGTCTGACTTGTGTTTGTCTCTTTGCAGCAGTCAACACTAAAATCTTGCATTCATTGTAGGCTTCACCATTTTTAAGAGGATACAATATCTCCTTTAAAGAGATTAAACAGTTTTCCTAAACCGTCTGAAAAAGACATGATACTGGCCCTTTTGTTGTTGCTGTTTCTTTTCCCCTTTCAGGTTTTTAAGGTTCCACTACTTGAAAATGATTTCATCTTATTTATACAGGAAGAATGGCTCACTCAGAAACAGATGTTTAAACACAGTTATTTTTGTTTTTGTTTCAATACATGGATAAGGACACCTTCTGCTTGTATAATAAACAGGCTGAACTGTGTCTGTCTTCAAGGAACCCATAAAGCTGTGCTTAAGGGTGATACTGAAATGCCTTGGCCCAGACCCTCTGGAAGAATGCAGGGAGACAGTCCTTTTCATATCAAATTCTGAGTCCCTCTATGATCCTCCTAACTGGATTCAGTACAGTTCTTTTCAGCAGAAAACCACCATAACAATCTCCTCTTGACTTGATTTGTAGACTTTGTTTCCTTAATCACAACAGCTTTGATATTTACTTTGCTCCTAGTTGGAGACATCAGTGCCTGAGGCTTTTCCATTTTCTTGTGGGCTTTAAAACTTTTTTAAAAAATTACTCAGGGATACGTATGTTTTATCATCCAGAATTATTTCAAAGCTATGACTAAGGTCTCATAGCTGCTGCATGAAATACTGGTGCTGATCAGAAGGCTTTTCCTCTTAGGAGCTGAGCTGTGTCCCATCCCTCTGGCTCAGTGTGCAGCAGTACACTCATACAGGCACCAAGTACCATAAGCTTTGTCAAGGGCATCTGTAACACTTGGCCTCAAAGACATATCTAGCCTGAGAAAAAGAGTTAAAAAGTACTCCAAAACTTCAAATAATAGTTCACATGGAAACACCTAACAGCATCTGAAGTGTGTACTATTTGAGTTCCCTGTTTAGAGAATAAGAAAATGACCTTAGTAACAATCAACTGACAGAGACCTTAAAGTTGCTATCATGCTGTTGGGTTGGCTGGTGATGTCACTAGTTGATCTTCTGGCACATCCCTGGCTGCCACCTGTCTTCTGCCATACTGAGCCACTGACACGGTC